CCCCCCCCCTCTCTCCCTCTCTCACTCTCTCTCTCTCTCTCTCCGCTCGGTTGCTACTGGGCTACGTCATCAGTACGAGCTGTACGTACTCACTCGGTACTTTCGAAACAAGGCCACAAATCGCGAGACGCAACGGCCAGTGACTAAGCCCGTTCTGGTGTATCCCCTCCTCTCTCCGAGCCCCACCATCTCACGCGGTTTCCCCTCGTCGTGTACTCCTCTCTCTCGCCCCGCGGCACCTCGCCCAGCGGCGAGTGTCTTCCGACGTTTCAGCGCCTCGCAGCGGTCCGAAGTTTGTACACGCGAGGGAAAGGTATCTGTAGCGGGCCTGCTGGTCACGGAAAAGTACTGGTCACATGTCCCAACAGATTGCGTGTCTGCATACTTTATCTCCTTGAGGTTTTACATTTTTTTTTCCCGGTGTTTGCTGACTGGACTACTGACTGACTGACACTCGACCGGTTCTTAGGGTTTGATTGGTTATTAGTTGAATGAAGATTTTTGAGATTTTCCGGTTGTTTTCTTAGAGCAGATTGAGGCGAGAGGAAAATCCCAGGTTTCTGTGGTTGAAAAACGTCATTGGGGAGGTTTATGTGATTTTTTGAAAAACACTGCGGTTTTTTTATGAATAATTCTTTGTGGGTTTTTTATTCATCTGAAATAAAGGATGTTCATGCTTTTTATGTAAATTAATTTTTCTTGAGAAGAAGTCTAATTTTTTTGTGATGGCAGAAACCAAATTTTAGAACAGATCGAGGCGAGAGGAAAATAAATCGTAGATTTTTACGGCTAAAAAATGTCCTTGGAGAAGTTTATGTCATTTTTGGAAAAACATTGCGATTTTTTGTGAACAATTCTTCCCTAGTTTCTTATGCAACTGAAATAAAGGATGTTCATTCTTTTTTTTATTGAAATGAATTTTTTTAGACTTCAGGAAAATTCTGTAATTTTTTGTGACGGAAGAAACCAAATTTTCGAACAGATCGAGGCGAGAGGAAAATAAATCGTAGATTTTTACGGCTGAAAAATGTCTTCGGAGAAATTTACGTGATTTTTGAAAAAACATTGCGGTTTTTTCGTACGAACAATTGTTCCCTAGTTTCTTATTCATCTGAAATAAAAGATGTTCAAGTTTTTTTTTATTTAAATTATTTTTTTCATTCTTGAGTAAAATTCTGTAATTTTTTTGTGACGAAAGAAACCAAATATGAGACCAGATTTTCTGATAATTGAGAAGAATTCGTTGTGAGAGGCTTGACAGAATTATAATTATCTAGAGAAAATGTTAAAAATGGAAAAAAATGAAAAATGGAAGACAATCTCCAAAACCATGCGAACTTCGAAGAAAAATCTGGAGTACTTCAGGAAATTATGGAAATATTCTAAACATTGAATCTCATATAGTCCGATGCTGATGCCAGCGTTTGTTGCATCTCAAAATTAAAATCATTATCAACATACAGATGATAACTCTTTCAAATTTTTATCAACCTGAAGATAACTCTGTTTATCAGTTGAAAAAAACAAATCAGAATTTTTTTGAGTGCTTGCAATTTTGTGAAACAATCCGCAATCCTCCAGTCTTGCTTAAAATAAAAAACTCACAAATTAGCTGTCAATTAATCAGCATTTTAATCCTTGAAGTAAACAGCAGTTAAATTTTTACCCGTTAATTGCTTCTACAATAAATACGTCAATTGGTTCGACCCCTGAGTTCAACTACTAGACAATTTACCCTGACCCCTCGATAAGTTCATCAATATTTTATTTATCTCTCACATTGACTTGACGGACATTACTGTTTTATTTGAAAGAGAATGACCAGTTTTTCCTGAATTACCAATGTCTTCCCTAATGACCGAATCAATTTTTTAAGTCCCCCAGGCCTCGGAACACGAGACAATTCACCCCGATCCGTCAATAAGTTGATTAATATTTTATTTCTGTTCTGTTCTGATGACTCGTTAACGGTTTGATTTCGAAGCGAAATGTCAAGAGCATTTTTTTCATTTTTTTTTTTTGTAGATGAGAATATTTTTCTCCGGGGATTACTCCGTTATCCATTTTGAAGGAATGACTTCATTTGTGGTGGAATATTTACTAAATGTCGTTTTAGAAAAAGAGTATTTTGAATATTTTATCTAAAACTACTTTTTCATGGGATAAATTCCAGCTGAATTGTTATAAAAAATCAAACAATTTTTTTCATTGATTGAATTCCTATTTTTTTCTGAATTAACAAAGTTTTCCCTAATAACTGCGTCTTTTTATTAAATTCCCCTAAGATTTGGAACACGGGAGAATTTATCCCAATCCCCCAATAATTTGACTAATATTTTATTTATGTTCTGTTCTCACAGTTCTTTAATGGTCTGATTTAGGAGCCAATTGTCAAGAGCGTTTTTTTCATAATTTTTTTGTAGATGAGTATATTTTTCTCTTAGGATCCCCATTTTGAAAGAATGACTTAATTTGTGATGGAACATTTACTAAATGTCGTTTTAGAAAAAGAGTATTTTGGTGATTTTACTTAAAACTATTTCTTCATGAAACAAATGCCAGCTCAATCGTTATAAAAAATCAAACAATCTTTTTCATTGATTGAATTCCTTTTTTTTCTGAATTGACCATGTCTTCCCTAATAACTGCGTCTTTTTATTAAATTCCCCTAAGGTTTGGAACACTGGAGAATTTACCCCAATCCCCCAATAAGTTGATTAATATTTTATTTATGTTCTGTTCTCACAGTTCTTTAATAGTCTGATTTAGGAGCCAATTGTCAAGAGCGTTTTTTTCATAATTTTTTTGTAGATGAGTATATTTTTCTCTTAGGATCCCCATTTTGAAAGAATGACTTAATTTGTGATGGAAAATTGACTAAACGTCTCTTTCAAAAAAGAGTATTTTGAGTATTTGACCTCAAACTCCTTCTTCATGAAATAAATCTCATCTCAACCGTTATCTCTTTATATTATAAAAATCCAAATTGATTTCTGGTGATAAAAATTTAGTACTCGCAATTAAGACTCCGAAATTAAGGGCCGCAAGGGTCATGACGATCAGAATGAGGGTTATGAGGGTCAGAATAAGGGCCAAAAGTGTCAGAATTTGGGTACAAGAGTAAGAATAAGGGTCACGAGCGTCAGCATAAGGGTCAGAATAAGGGCCGCAAGGGTCAGATAAAGGATCCAAATGAAGGTCGCAAGGGATTAAGGATCACAAAGGTCAAATTAATGGGCCAAATAAGGGTCATGGGGTCAAAATAAGGGCCGCAAGGGTCAGATTAAGGATCCAAATGAAAGTCACAAGGGATTAAGAATCACAAAGGTTAAATTAAGGGTCCAAATAAGGATCGGGAGGTCAAAAGAAGGGTCTCAATGTCTTTCTACATTGTAAAAATCCAAATCGACTTGTGGTGATGAAAATTTGGTGCTCGAAATTGAGACTCCAAAATTAAGGATCAGAAATGAAAGGGCAAAAAACGGGTCATGAGGGTCTGAATGAGGATCATGGGGTCATATGGGGGTTGGCGAGCGGAGCGAGCAGGGAGTGTAGTAATAAAATAATTCTTCAATTAATTGAATTCCTAGCTTTCCCTGAATTGACAATGTCTTCCCCAATAACTGCGTCAATTTATTAAATTCCCCCAGGGCTTGGAACACGGAGCAATTCACCCCAATCCCCCAATAAGTTGATTGATATTTTATTTTTGTTCTGTTCTGTTGGTTTGTTAACGGTCGAACCGTCACGACATCTCGTGAATGCCGAATGTGGCAGTGGTCGACCTTCGATCAGTAAAGCCACGTGGAGAATAGATAAAAAGGTTTTGGGATGGTTAATGCATTGTTTAGCTCTCGAGAATGCCAGGAAAACGTGACTTACGCACTCGGGGGGCCATGCACAACCACGTAAATATTATAGCGTTGAGGTGTGTTTGTCCATGCGTTAGGATATTAAACCGGATATTTAGCATTCCCTCATGAGCCCAGCTTACACGTATGAAATGATCAAGTGTCCACACGCCCGGAATTCACGTTATGAATTTTTATTAGACTCGTGGGGCACGTTTCGGTCGTTGATTGAGTGACTCATGATTTAGACTTTCACTTATTGTTGGAAATTGTTAAATAATTGATGGTTTTTTAAATTTAAGGGCAATTTACGGGGAAAAGATAATAGAATTTCAGTTTTTATTGAGAACTCAAGGAAATTCCATATGTTTTAATAGCAGGGAGACGAGAATTCCATAACTCACTTGAATTTTCAATAAAAATATGAATATTTAGTAGCGAATTACGCCGATTTTTCAATTAATTTGGAATTCAAGAATATTTTTACGTGAATTTTCCTGATTTTGTTGGGTTTCGGGGAATAATTAAATTAGAATTGACAGTTTCCATTGATTTTTTCATAGAATTATGAATTTTCATTGACGAAGTTCCTTGAAATTTCAGTGAAACTGTTACTTGATAATTTTTCCAAGAAGTGAAGACTCGTTTCAGTTGTAGATTCAGTGAGTCATGATATAGACTTTCACTCATTGTTGGAAATAGTTAAATAACTGATTTTTCTTTAATTGAGGGATAATTTAGGGGAGAAGTAATGAAATTTCACAATGAATTCAATGAAATTTCAAATTTCTTAACAGCAGGAAGACAACAATTCCCCAATTACCTTTCCTTCTCAATAAGAGCATAAATATTCAGTACCAATTTATTCTGATTTCTCAAGGATTTCAGAATTCAAAAATATTTTGATCTCAATTTTCCTCATTTCTGTTGTATTTCACATAATGATTGAACTGAGATTGTAGTTTCCATTAATTTTTCCATAAAATTTTGAATTTTCAATTGCGAAACTCCTTGAAATTTCACTGAAACTAACTTGACAGAAATTTCTAAAACGCGGAGATTCATTTCAGTCGTAGATTGAGTGATTTATGATTTAAACTTCGACTTTTCATCGGGAATTGTTAAATAATTGACCGTTTTTCATTGAAGGTGGTTACGTGGGTCCTTCAATTCCCCTGGCACCGACCAGTGTGGCTACCAACGGGGGAGGTTCGCCACTGCGTCCGAGGACTAGTCCTCCTCCACCACCTCCACCACCGCAGGAGGCAGGCGGAGGGACGCAGCAAGGAACTCATCACCAGGGAGGGACTGGTGGGCCTTCGCCCATGGCTGCACTCATGTCTGTCGCTGATACACTGACATCTCCTGAGCCTGTGCCACAGCCATCTAATAATCCCAGTCCCACTAGTAGGAGTCCACCTACTACTGCTGCTACTGGACAGCAGAGGAGTGTGTCCAGGGGGTCACAACACAGTCCCAATGGTTCTGGTAAGAGTCCACAGAATGTATTCATTTGAGTTTTGAAAAATTGTTTCGCGAAACATGGAATTATCTTTGGGAATTCAAGAAGATTTTTTACATTGGGTTTTCTCAGCTACAAAAACTTTTCTTGCTATTGATTGAAACATTAATAGATTAAAACATGGGTTAAAACATTAATGAATAAATAAATGAATAAATGAATTAAATAATTAATTAAGTAGCCACTGCAGGGCTTTATGCATTTTACAAAATGATTAAATCATTAATTCGCAAGATAATTACGACATTAAATTAATATTGAGGATGGAAAAATAGTACAGTTGAGGGATTTCCCTAAGACTCTTTTTATATGGGATTTTCTCAGCTGCAAAAAAGTTTTCTGAATATTTTAGTATTAAATCACGAATTTTTTAAATCAGACAGTAATTAGAGAGAATATATAAAACTCAATTATCGTTGGGGATCGAAAAATAGTGCAATTTAGAGGGGAATGTGTCGTGAAGAAGTGGATCAAGATGAGAAAGTTCTCTGGATCCTCTTTTGTGCAGAATTTCACAGCTGCAGAAGGCGTCTCTCGATGTTTCTTTAAATTGATTCCTTCATTCACGAGATGATTGCAAAATTCATGGAAATGCAGAATTATTGTTTAGACGTTGCCCATTTTGGAAAAATTACTTCATTTATGATGGAATTTTCAGTGAATGTCACTTTAGAAAAAGAGTATTTGAGTCATTTTTACCTAAAACTACTTCTCTACGGATTAATTCCACAATAAGATGCTGCCTTAATAGTTATGAAGAGTCAACTGATTTTCCAACTCATTCAGTTCCCAGATTTTCCTATAAACGAGTGAGAAAATGCTCCACAAAAAAAAATTTCTTGAAATTTCCTCATTCGACATAATTCGTAAGAAGCTAAGCAAAAAAAATTATGGAAAATTTTTTCGACAATCAGTTATTAATTAACGAGTAATATTTTTAATGTTTATAAATGAAAAATTAATCGTTTGCGGCTGACAAATCCAGATTTCCTCAATTACAAATGAAGAATAAATTCAGTTAAACGAATTCTCTTAATCTTTTTTCCAGGCTCTGGAAGAAGACCGAGTGGTGGTGCAAGGCAGCACGTATCATCGACAACAGTGATGACGTCCTCAGAAGGTGCGACGGGGGCTCAGCCAGCTGGTGCAGAGCCCGTCTCCAACGCGCCTGCACTCAAGTGCACCCTCTGTCAAGGTCGCCTAGAGGATACCCACTTCGTTCAGTGTCCCAGTGTTCCCCACCACAAATTCTGCTTCCCCTGCAGTCGAGACAGTATTAAGAGGCAGGGAGCTGGCTCAGAGGTACTAAAATCCCTTTATTATATCTTCATCAATGTGTTCATCATTGAATACAATATTTTATTTCGTTTCATGTTCTTGATATAAATACTATAAATTGTAGAGAGTATCTGAAATATTTATAATGGGTTCAGAGAATGTATGAATGTTTAGAGGGATATGGACATTTTTTGGGAATCTGCACTGCTATTATTAACAAGAGAAAAGAAAAGAAATTTGAAAATTAGAGCTTACTTTACATTAATTGAAATTTCGCAGTGATTTATGAACCGACATTTGGTAGAAAAACAGAGTTCCTTACATAATTAATCTAATTAATTGCCCAGACTATTAGAATGGAGTACAGTATAAAATCACTCCATTTTATCTCCATTAATGGATTCATAATTGAATACAGTATTTTATTTCATTTAATGCTCTTGATATAAGTACAATAAATTGTAGAGAGTATCTGAAATATATATAATGGGTTCAGAGAATGTATGAATGTGAATAATGTTTAGAGGGATATGGACATTTTTTGGGAATCTGCACTGCTATTATTAACAAGAGAAAAGAAAAGAAATTTGAAAATTAGAGCTTACTTTACATTAGTTGAAATTTCACAGAGATTTATGAACTGACATTTGGTAGAAAGACAGAGTTCCTTACATAATTAATCTAATTAATTGCCCGGACTATTAGAATGGAGTACAGTATGAAATCACTCCATTTTATCTCCATTAATGGATTCATAATTGAATACAGTATTTTATTTCATTTAATGCTCTTGATATAATAAGTATAAGTACAATAAATTGTCGAGAGTATCTGAAATATATATAATGGGTTCAGAGAATGTATGAATATGAATAATGTTTAGAGGGATATGGACATTTTTTGGGAATCTGCACTGCTATTATTAACAAGAGAAAAGAAAAGAAACTTGAAGATTAGAACTTTAGATTATTTTACATTTTGTAGAGATTTATGAACGGACATTTGGTAGAAAGATAGAGTTCTTTACATAATTAATCTAATTAATTGCCCTATCATAATGGAATAGAGTATAAAATCACTTCATTACATCTCCATCAATAGATTCATAATTGAATACAGTGTTTTTTATTTTATTCATTACTCTTGAGGAATTGGCCCATTTTTGGATTTCTGGACTGTTATAAATTGCACATTAGATTTACTTTACATTTTGTACAGATTTATGAACTACCATTGCGTAAAAAGACGCAGACTTCTTGACACAATTAATTCAACGAATAAACCGAGATAATTGCATAAAATGATAAAATCATGTTACAATCTAATAACCCCATTCTTCCCCTCCAGGTATATTGTCCAAGCGGTGAAAAATGCCCTCTGGCCGATAGCCAGGTACCCTGGGCCTTCATGCAGAACGAAATAGCCACAATTCTCGCCGAGGACACAGCAACTGGTCTCAAGGTCAAGAAGGAGCGCGAGACTTAAGGGAATGTGTACTTGTACAATTTGGTTGAGGCTCAAATTAAAAATATATATATGTATATCACAAATACAATTGTGACACAAAACTTGTCCATGATCGAGGGAAATTACATCGACATGTGAACAAGCGGGGTGGGGCCTCTGTTTTGGTGGAATAACCGTGAAGGACCACCGAGGCATGTCTTTGGAAGATATAAAATATTTAAAATGGAAAATTAAATGTAGCGGGGGATCCTGTGGGAGTAGCACCGAAGACGTGAAATTGATTTTGGGGGGCTTTTCAGGGATGTTTCGTTGATGAAAAATTTTGGGGGGCTTGGGGGATTGTTTGACGCGGGTTTTGAGCAGTAGTCTTCGGTAATTTTGACACGAAGGCATTTTTACACGACTCGTAATATCCTAGAGTCGTTGATGATCGAAATCATAAACAAAAAATGTTGTTGAAGAGGCAAAATCTTTATTTGTTTGTTTTTGTTATTTGCATTTTGAGTTACATCTTCAATTGGCAGTTTTCAAACTGCTTATTTTCAATAATTTCTTGATGATGATACTGATGATGATGATGATGGCGATGATGAGGGAGGGATTATTTTTCACATGGCTTGATCGCCTGTACTTTGCATCCGTCTCACTAATTTTTCTTTTGTATTTTTTGAGGTGCCTCTTGACTGGAAGCACTTTGTAGAAAAAAACAGCAAAAGATATCTTATAACTACTAGGGCGTCCGTATCTTACTCTCCAGTCGTTTGCGGGCAATCGGAGTAGTGTCCACTATTTTCAATAATTTTTTTTCTACATGCGCCTGGTTAATGTTTAAGTTTACAATTTCAACTCGATCAAAATGCGAGGGAAATTCACTCGGGGGGAAAAGACCCAGATTTTTTTTTGTACATTGTGTATATGTGTACATATATTTGACATTTATCGAAGCAAAATGAAGCAATTTCTATGAGCAATGGGGTAATCGACATTGTGAATGTACAAAATTCATTACTTTGGTCTTTCATTTTTCTCCATTAATTGACGTGTGGTGAAAAATTTTTAACACGAATATAAACTTATGACTGCATGAGGATAAATTTCGTATGACGAAGTATTTGTCAGCTATTGGACAGAAGAGTGCACTTGCACTCTTGCATTATTTTACAATGAAAAATTGAATTGTTTAACGACTGTTTCTCCAGGGAAAATGCGTCGTTGTAATTGTCAATCTGACATAGAGGTGAAAGATGAAGCATCGTAAAGAAGTAGATTTTGTTTTGATGAACAACCAACAAGTGAGAGAATTTGTCGCTGCCGCCCAGGGTTTTCTATTTCAATGCTGGCGTGAAGAGTGAATGTGTGCGAATAATGATAAGACGAGTGATAAAAAAAAATTGTAACTGTACGAAGCGTAAGAGTGATTGCAGTTAACGATAAGTCGGTGATAAATGACTGTGCGATAAACCCTGGTATGGAGGGGGTGAGCCCATCTTTTCTTTTGTATATATTTGTACAAAAAACAAATCGAAAAAAAAATACACACGTTTAGATATGTATCGATAATGTAAGTGACATCACACTAGAATGTTTCAGCAATTGTACTGCAATGAAAGTGAGGGGAGTTTCTAGAAACACTTCGAGTTTTCTCACGACGATTTTCAAAAAACCAAGTTTTTTTCTCTGTATTTTTGCGAAAGACTCGTCCCATTCTGATTGGAATGAACAGTTCATTCGATTGTTGTATGTTTCTCTTTTTTTTTAATCGAAAAAATTTCAAAACGTTACATCTGCGTAATTGACAGATCATTATTTCGTTCCTCAGGGTTTCGTTGAGTTGAAAATAATTAAAAAACAACAATTGCCAACTACATTTGTCTGTTCCCAATCTCAATAATAAAAGAACTACTAAAATACGAATTTTAACTCCATTAAAAGATAAAGAATATTCTCATAGAACAATGCAAGCGTTTTTCTATAAACTTTAATAAAAAAAACATGCAGAAGAGGGGTAATAACTAGAACTCGAGGATAAGACAAATCGAGACGAGTCAAACTCGTCCACTAAAAATTGTAATAGCGAATAAAAAAACATTTTTTTTTCTAGTGTACCATATCTTGGAACGTGTAACAATGTACTGTTTATCGTATGTATGCAACAAACAAAAAAGTAAAAACGAAAATATATGTGTTGATGTGTAATAATTGTCGTTTGTTTTTTGAAGTCATTCTGTCCTGTGGGAAAAAACTTGAAATTTCATGGATTGTCGAATAGTAATCTTCAGGCGAGTAACATTGAAAGCCATTTAGGAGGGAAGAGTCGTGAAATTCCAGATTTCCCTGAAAACTCCATGAAATTGCAAATTTTTTAACAATTTAAGACGAAAATTCCTCAATATTTAAATTCCCAGCTATTTTTTTCAGGAACTCTATCAATTTTCAGGGAACAGTTGAACTGAAATTTACAGCTCATTGATTTTTTTTCTCATAATTCTGTCCTGTTGGAAAAAACTTGAAATTTCATGGATTGTCGAATAGTAATCTTCAGGCGAGTAACATTGAAAGCCATTTAGGAGGGAAGAGTCGTGAAATTCCAGATTTCCCTGAAAACTCCATGAAATTGCAAATTTTTTAACAATTTAAGACGAAAATTCCTCAATATTTAAATTCCCAGCTATTTTTTTTCAGGAACTCTATCAATGTTCAGGGAACAGTTGAACTGAAATTTACAGCTCATTGATTTTTCCTTGAAATTCTGAATTTTCAATGAGGAAATTCCTTGAAATTTCAGTGGAAATAAAATGTCATAAATATATTTATAAAAAGTGCATTGAAAAGTGCAGCCAAAAATTTTCAACAGAATGGACTGAGGGAAAAATGAGGAAACAACAGATTTTCAAACGAGTCCCGTTTCCCATTGCATTCTACCTGATGAAATTGATCAATACTAAACATAAATCAGCTAATAAAAATTCATGGAATAAATTTTTCGAACTTCTCACGCAGGACTCAATTTTTGTTTCCATCCAACTCTTTCATCAGTCAATAATGAAAAATGCATATGTACTTACCCTCAGGACCATTCCTTTCTTTCAGGATAAAAATATCTTTGATATAATAAATCTGATGCTCATTCTTTGACCGCGATTCACAGAAAAAAGATCGAATGGATTTCAATGATTTCTTTACTATTACATAGTTTAGGGTCCCCAATCGGCTTTAGACTATAAGCTATTACGATGCATAGCTACGGTGCATAGTTTAACATACGCCGAAGAAGTTTCTGAAAAATTCTAAAATATTCTCGAGTTTTCGAGAATATTTCTGAGATTTTCACAAAGTTTAAGGATATTCTAGGATATTTTATTGAAAGTTTGAGGAAATTTTTTGTGTTTTACAGACAATTCGAAAAAAAAGTCTTGAATTTTCTATAAAATTCTCTGATTTTCTAGAAAATTCGAAGGAATTCTCGGGTTTTCTGAAAACAAATTGTTTATTCCAATTGAGCAATTTAATTTCAAATTCTGATTGACTTGCTGTGTGGCCCGGCTTCGCCGGGGCAGCATAAGGGAAATTTGAATACTAGGATTTGTGAGAATTCCTGCAATTTAAGAAAACACCTCAATGTTTTCAACTTCTCCTGTCCAAATTCCTGCTCCCATACTGAGAACAGCAAAGTTTTTTGGGAAGTACGTCTTCACCTACATCAAGAAACTCGTGGCTTGGAAATTTACGAGAGCAAAATGTCTTGCACTAAGAAAAAAAAACTTTCGTCAAGAAATTCTGTACTTATCCCAAAGACGAGGACAACTTCATAATGGCAAGAAAGCTATTTCTCAAACCCAAGTAAAATTGAATTAATTCATTTAACACTTCTTTAGCCCCAATTCTAAATTATTTTAATGCAAAAACCCCTTGAATTGATTTGAGAACTCATTTTCTTGACATCAACCAACTGCCCTCATCTTTTCAACAAATATAAAATTTCTTGGCGTAGAATTTTTTCTTTAGTGCGAGATATTGTGCGCTCGATGATTTTCGAGCCACGAATTTCTTGATTGTAAATTTGCAAACACGGAGATAAATATTCAATAAAAATTCCGTGTCTGTTCCGTAATTCCGGAGCGCAACGTGGCTGCAGAAAATTTTACGGAGCTGTCACAGAGTTTTTCCAGAGCGTTCCGTAATTTCCCCTGAATCTCCAGTGAAAAATTACGATTTCGTCACTCAAATTTTCCGAAAATTCCGCAAATTCCGCAATCGGTGAGCGAACTGTGAGTTCCGTAATTTTTACTGAACATTTCTCTCCGCGAAGACGTACTTCTCAAAAAACTCTGGTCTTCCCAGTGCAGTGTGACGAGTTCATTCTGCAGATTCCCAGAATACGTCGAACGATCGATTGGTGGAAGATAGACCTCCTCTCGGCGGTGTAACCCGGGGCGGGCGGAGGGACGAGGTGTAAAAAAATCAATGTCAGCCCGATGTGGCCAACTGGGGAAAGAGTGGAGGGGAATCCCGCTGGCAATATTGATCCGTTGGGGTCCAGACGACTTGAAAACACGCGGATGCTGCTACGAGGGAACCCGATGAAAAATTTAAACGACCTCTGACATTTTACAAATCAATTTGAATCGCCTGCAGGCGGGAAACGGGCGATGAAACCACTCTCAATGGAGTGTACATGAAATTTCGATAAGTCGGGGTCATGAATAGAGGAGGAATAGCCGTGAGTGGAGGCCAGTGGAATAATGAACTCTCACCTATTAATGAGTGAGGATCATTGNGGGGGGGGGGGGGGGGAGGGGCTGGCAGTTGTCCAGCGACGAGGTGCATTTTAACTTTGGAGGGCGATGAACTCACCTTGTGTCCACGCCAGTGGGGACGGTGATCAGGTGGGATTTGGGAGCGGTGGGGAGGGGGAGGAGGAGAAGATTTTCATGAAAATGGTCAGGGGTTGATGAGGTTGAGAATAAATAACGGGTTATTTTGGTGAGAATGAGGGAGGCGATTCGAATTCAGAATCGGGAAAAATTTATTGGTGCGATGAGAATATTTTTATGAGGACGTTTGAATGAAGATAAACTGTTGTTTTGGGAAGGGAGAAACAACATTATCTTGAAAATGATACCGATAATATTTATAATTATTTTTTAGTGTGGAAAGAGATAGTGGAGAACGTGCCTGGAATATGGAAATATTCATGTGGTAATAATAGAATGGATGAGGAATTATGAAAAAAATTGACACAACTTGAACTCAACTTGATTTCAGGATCAGTTTTTGGGGAATATTTTTGAATGTAAGGGAGATGAAGAAATATTCGTTTCGACCCTTTCCTTAGCTCTTCCTTCGCTCTACAAAAAATGGCCTTAAAAAATCTTCTAGCGTCCTTAGAATCTTAGATATTTAGGCAAAACTGAAAAGTATAAGCATCTTATTGTAAACCATGACGCATTTTCTTCTGTCACTCCACTCCTAAATCATTTGAAGGCAGAAAAATGATTCCCCATCCGTCAATCTTTCTAATAATAACAATAACCTTTCATAGTGTTATTTATTACTCGTGGGGATGATAGAGAAAAAACATTATCACGAAAATACTCATTGAATAACAATGGAATCGATTATCAAAATAAAAATTTCAAAAAAGCAGACTTAATCCCCAAAAAGAAATCGTCATTTTCATAATCCACCATGCGCACACTTTCATTCATCAACTCCTTAAAAAAATACAATTCCCCATTCTCCTAAGACTTCATGAGAAATTAACTAGACGACGAAAGTGAATTAAATCATACGAGAAAGTAAAGACCGAAACAAATCAATTTCAGGAGTAGTTTTCATCAAACATCTTTGAACTTAAGCAAAAAAATTATTCTCAATCCATCAATATCTTTAATAATAACAATTACCTTTCATAGTATTATTTATTGCTCGCAGGGATGATATAATATAAATATAATCACGAAAATACGCATTGAATAGCTATAGAATCGACCATAAAAATCAAAATTAGAAAAAAAAGAAATCATGTCCATAATTCACTATTTGAACATTTTCATTCATCAACTCCTTAAAAAATACAATTCCCCATTCGTCTAAGCGTTCATGAGAAATTAACTAGACGACGAAAGTGAATTAAATCATACGAGAAAGTAAAGACCGAAACAAATCAATTTCAGGAGTAGTTCTTATCAAACATCTTTGAACTTAAGCAAAAAAATTATTCTCAATCCACCAATCTCTTTAATAATAACAATTACCTTTCATAGTATTATTTATTGCTCGCAGGGATCATATAATAAAAACATAATCACGAAAATACGCATTGAATAGCTATAGAATCGACCATAAAAATCAAAATTAGAAAAAAAAGAAATCATGTCCATAATTCACTATTTGAACATTTTCATTCATCAACTCCTTAAAAAATATATTTCCCCATTCTCCTAAGACTTCATAAGAAATTAATTAGACGGTAAAAGTGAATTAAATCATACGAGAAGATGAAGACCGAAACGACGCAATTTTAGGAGTAGTTCTTATCAAATATCTTTGAATTTGAGTAAAAAAATTATTCTTCACCCATCAATCTATCTAGTAATACCAATAACCTTCCATAGTATTATTTATTGCTCATAAGAATGATAGAGGGAAAACATTATCACGAAAATACTGATTGAATAACAATGGAATCGACCGTAAAAATCAAAATTGCAAAAAAAGCGGACGTAATCCCCAAAAGAAATCATCATTTCCATAATCCACCATTCAAACCCTTTCATTCATCACCTCCTAAAAATACAATTCCCCATTCTCCTAAGAGTTCATGAGAAATTAACCAGACGAGGAGATTGAGTTACATCATACGAGGGAATGAAGACCGAAACGAGCTCGAGATACGTCACGAGGTCCCCTTTAAATTGTTGAGAAATTTGACAGTGAGGTAGGCGGCCCTCGTTAAAGTGACGAGTATCGATTTTCGCGTGCATTCTCCATCTATTTTTCCTTCAACGACCTCGGCCAATCGACTCCCCCGATATTCCGCAGGGGATCATCCCTGAATTATCGATCACTCGCTGGGGGAAATTGCGAGGGTTATTGATCGCGACTCGATGGGATTTCGAGAGCTGCGGTAACAGCTGTCTATCCTCTTTAAGAATCGATATAGCCAGCGTGTGGTACGACACACGGTACTGTCGGGGGTCAAGCGTGACGTAACACGCCATACGAAACTGTTTAGTATCCGGCAACTGCCAACCACGCGACAGGGTTGTCGACATCATGACCTGATATTTTGTTTCCGTTCTTTTCACGATTTTTTTTCGTTACTTTATCTGTCGTGGGGAGTTGGGAGGGCTATAATCACGTGAGAATATTCATTTTGCTTCCGATTGGAGGCTTTGTAGTCGTTCAAATTTAAGTGTTGGATTTATTGTGCAAAAGTCCGAAAATGCAATTTTTAGTGTACGTGTTTGTAATAAAGTTTTTTTCATTTGTTACGCTAATGAATGGATGGAATTGAATCCTTTATTTCCAAATGTAGGCATTGTTGCGCCCTATCAATGGCCATTAATTAAAAATTAATTCATCGATTAGTTATTTTAATTTTCGAAATTTTTCGAAAATCGGTTGTCCTACGGTAATTGAAAAAAATGTTCTGAATTGATTGAATGATGACTTAAAAAAATTGTTTGATTGTTGGAAATTCCGAATTTTCCATGAATTTTCCTGATAGTGAGCCTTATGATGGTTTCTTCAAATCAGGGATGACCCTCAATCTTCCGATTCTGCAATATTCAATTTCCAATTGATGATGAATTAAATATTAAAAAATATGGAACTATAAATTTTCTATTAAGTAGATAATAGTAAATTTCTTATAACGGATTTCCGATTATCCAAATAATCGTCAATATTCCTAACTCAATTAGTGATTAATGAATAATTCAAAATTCGACTATTTAAATTGATGATTATTTCAACAATTAAAATTTAAAAGTGATATTAACTAATTGACAACATAATAATTTAACAGTAATTACACTTAATGATATGGCTATCGCTGCAAATGTGATGTTTCAAATTCATTCAAGTATGTATGAATAAAATTTGTCTATTAACATTTTATCGAAGTGCTGAGGGGAGAGATAAAACCGCAAAAAGGACAATCAGTTGCGTAGAAGAAAGAGATAATAAGAATAATGATGACGATAACATTCAACTAAGTTGAAAATCTGACAAAATTTGTTAAAAAGAAATCTTATTCAATCTAATAAAACGAAATAAACAATGAATTATACATGATATAGCTAATTTATTAGCAAAAATAGCTACACTACATACAATACAAGAGCAGTTCTCCACTTGTTTGTGATTTCAGAGACAAAATGGAACGAGGGAAGACTGATTGTGGAGTGAATACTCGGAAGAATGTTAAAAGTATTCAGGATTATTTGGAAAATCATTCGAGAATGGCCCTGGAGAGGGTGAGGAGGGAATCGACGGGCTCGGATACTCTGGCAGCTATACTCAATGCCGAGAGACTCGTCCAGGAGGCCAAAGGGGTCATTGCTGAGGCCCGGAGGAGAGCCATTAGCAGCAAAACCGTCTCAGAGTATGTCTATTTGAGTTGATGGGAAACTTTTCTGGAGAGAATTTTATTGCGTAAATGAGAGTCTTAATATCTATCGACAAATTTCTAAAAATCCCAAGAATAATCCGTAAACGATTAAAAAAACATTAAAAAAACACTGCTCTCTGTCCACAGAGACTTCCCGTGGCTTCAGAATTTTTTACCAAAAACAGATAAGGTAGAAACTGAATTTTTATTACAAAAGGGGAAACATTATCTTCAGAATGATAACAGTAATATTTTTCTATATGTTTTTTCCATCGGAGAAGATCATTGAGAACATTTTCATGAAAATATTCGTGTAAAAATAATAGAATTGATGAGAAATCATGGTAAAATGAAAAAAATTGATTCAAAATCAGGATAAGTTTTAGGGGAAAATCTCAGAATGTTAGGGAGATAGAACAATATCTATAAAGATGTTTTCTGGGGAGCGAAATCAGAGCTTCAAAAATTTTTGAATCGAAATGCCGTATTATTATTATTATTATTATTATTATCATTATTATTATCATTATTTTACAAAAGGGAAACCATTACCTTTAGAATGATGACATAATATTTTTCTATATTTTTTACCGTAGAAATCTGTGGGAACATTTTCATGAAAATATTCGTGTAACAATAATAGAATCGATGAGAAATCATAATAAAATGAAAAATTTGATTGAGAATCAGGAGAAGATGATTTCTGGGCAGCGAAATGAGAGCTATAAAAATCCTTGATTAAAAATACCGTGATATGACTAGGATTCAGAGATATTCAGCGAGTACAGATGTGATAGAAATCAAACTATCATTCAAAAGGAAAAACTATTTTGAGAAATATTATTGGTATTATTTAAAATTTTATGACAAAAATTTTGGTATCTCCCTTAGATTCCAAGATATTCACTGAAAACTAGCAAATAGTAAAAATTGAGTTGTACCGTTTTACAACTTCGCGATATAAAATCTATCAAATTGTCGATCTTAGTGAAAAACTACGGAAATAACGGGGGAAAAATGGAAAAAACTCATAGAATCATAAACAACAAATAATAAATCGTCCCTCTCCCCCCCGCAGAGACTTCCAAATAATGCGCCTAACCGAGGAAGAGCTGGAAATAAAATCCCTCGTGTCCGCCAAATTCGACGAGGCAAACGGTAGAAAGTTGCGGACGAAATTAGAAGTCACCCTCCCCCCGAACCCGCCCCGCGACCCCGAGAATTTTGGCACCCCCTCCAAGCCTCTCTCCCCCAGGTCTAAAACCCCCTCCGCAAGGGCGCCCGCCACCCCTTTAAACCGCGCCCACTCACCCCCCAGCATTGAAATTCAGAGAGGACCTCGGATCGACATAAGGAACGACCTCTCCCTCACGAAAATGTCACCCCTCGACATCCACCCGCGCAGCCCGCCCCCGAGACCCAACACAGGCACCTTCCAGCTGCGCCACGAAGCCTCCAAACGCGTCACAATCGATGAGCCCACGAGTTTGATCGATGCTGGCGTGCAAACGAGCCTGCGTGACTCATCGGAAATCTCCAAGTTTGAGGAGCGAGATGCACTGTCGAGGTCAGGTCCCTCCGACCTCGACCAAAATAAAATTGATGGATCGAACGAGGTGCACCACACTGAACCAATCAACGATGATTTTGGTAGGGGAAAGATCGATGGTGAAGGTCTTGGAGTTGGAGCTGAAATTCCCAATGCATCGGCGAACAAAAATAAACCGAAAAGACCTGGAACCAACACTTTCATCGATTTTTTATGCGGGATGAACCCCTCGGCCTCCCAAAAAGAGGAGAAAAAAACGCCTGGAGGATGTGAAAATTCTCTGTCATCCCCTGAAGTAATAAAAAACTCGTTAAGCTCTTCGACGATCAGCTTGAAGGCCCCTGACACAGTCAAAGTCGAGAGCTTGCTCCGCAGAATTGACGAGAAATTAAAGACGATAGCAAGAACAACGGAGACCCTAGACCACTTGTGCAGTAGATCGAGTGAGAATAAGAGTCCTGGGGTTGCTGAGGGGTTAATTAAGGGAAGGAGTAGTGAGTACGAAGTGGAGGTGCTGCTGGAGCCCAGATTCAGGCTCTCCAGCTCCTCCAGCGCAGTGTCAACGGAGACGCTGCATCCCGCGAGGTTCTCAACGCCCTTGAACAATAAAATTGATAGATCGATTGTCAAATCACGAGTGGATCAATGTGCAAGGGCAGTGGTCTCGTCTCCAGCTGTGTCGGACTCCGATAACGTTGGGTCCAATGTTATTGACGAAATCATACCTATGACGAGGAACGAATTATCGTACGATAAAAATGATAAAGTCTTTCGTGATAAGGTTTCATCCTCGGGGGAATCTGCGACGAGTGAAACGGACGAGACTGGGTCGTTGTTCCCGACGTATTCGACTGACAAATCGGGGGTTTGTGGGGATCGGAGGTCGGGAAGATCGGTGAGGATGAATCGGGGGTCTTGTCATGAAATGAAAATAACGAATGTTGAGAGATTGGGGATTGATAACGAAATGAATAAGGCTCTTGGGGGGCTTCCGGAGGATAAGGATGATGGAGGACGTTCCGAGGATTTTGTTGAGATCTCTGGAGACGTTGGGAATGAGGAACACCAGGTGCATGGGTCATCCGGTCGTGAGGGAACTTCGCAGGATGTTTCGAGGCTGTCTTCGGAGATTGTGGGAGGTTCTGGTGATGATGGGGAACGTACGTCGCGGGGTTTGGGAGGAAATGAAGGTGGGGATGGGGATGATGGTTGTCGGGGGGGACGATTGAGAAGGTCTGGAGAAGGATCTAGGAGGGATCTGGAGGAGAAAAGCTCCTCGAGGAGTTCTATTGGTCACGAAGGAATGCCTTCAGCTTTGTTGAGACCTTCGACTAGCTGTGGCAACTCTAATGGAAGAAGGAAGGAATCTAGGGGTAAGAAAGAAGGTCCTCAAGGGGATGAAGGTGATGGTGGTCACGAGGAACCATCGAAAATCTCTGGAGAAGGTCCTGGGAAGGAACTGGGGGAGAAAAGCTCCTCGAGGAGTTCTATTGGTCACGAAGGAATGCCTTCAACTTTGTTGAGACCTTCGTCTATCTGTGGCAGCTTTGATAGGAGAAGGAAAGAATCTAGGGGTGAGAAAGGAGGTCCTGAAGGGGGTGGAGGTGATGGTGATCAGGGGGAAGCCTCGACAATCTGTAGAGAAGGTTCTGGGAAGGACCTGGGGGAGAAAAGCGCCTCGAGAAGTTCTATTAGTCACGAAGGAATGCCTTCAGCTTTGCTGAGACACTCGTCTAGCTGTGGCAACTCTGATGTGAGAAGGAAGGAATCTAGGGGTGAGAAAGAAGGTCCTGGGAGGAACCTAGAGGAGAAAAGCTCCTCGAGGAGTTCTATTGGTCACGAAGGAATGCCTTCAACTTTGTTGAGACCTTCGTCTATCTGTGGCAGCTTTGATAGGAGAAGGAAAGAATCTAGGGGTGGGAAAGGAGGTCCTCAAGGGGATGAAGGTAATGGTGGTCACGAGGAACCATCGAAAATCTCTGGAGAAGGTCCTGGGAAGGAACTGGGGGAGAAACGCTCCTGGAGGAGTTCTATTAGTCGCCCTTCAGTCTTGTTGAGACATTCGTCTAGCTGTGGCAACTTTGGTAGGAAAAGGAAGGAATCTAGGGGTGAGACAGAAGGTCCTCAAGGGGATGGAGGTGATGGTGATCAAGGGGAAACCTCTACAATCTCTGGAGAAGGTTCTGGAAAGGACCTGGGAGAGAAAAGCTCCTCGAGGAGTTCTAGTAGTCATGAAGGAATGCCATCAGCTTTGTTGAGAACTCTGTCTAGCTGTGGCAACTTTGATAGAAAAAGGAAAGAATCTAGGGATGAGAAAGAAGGTCCTCAAGGGCATGGAGGTGATAGTTATCAGGGGGAATTATCGAAAATCTCTGGAGAAGGTTCTGGAAAGGACCTAGAGGCGAAAAGCTCCTCGAATTCTATTAGTCATGAAGGAATGCCTTCAGCTTCGTCGAGACACTCGTCTAGCTGCGGCAGTTCTGATGGGACAAGGAAGAGTTCTACAGCTGATTGCTATTCGGAGGGGGAACTCTTCATCTCCAGTTCCTGTGGATATTCTCTTGGGGAAGTTGTGGGGCCCAGTCGGAGTGGAGGGATCGTCAACAAGATATGCGTTAATTTGGCGGAGGGACGAACGTTGTCGATGATTCAGGTGAGGATTGGTAAAAAAAATTGATTTTTAAAGAGCTTTGAAGTATCTTCTCTATTGTGTTTTCATGCACAGGCCCCATAACAAATGACATGACAATCTGTGCCCCGATCTGCATCTGACGTAGAACTGAGGTTTCTACCGGATCAATAATTATAGTGTATCAGAAACCTCTGGACATAATTACTGTGTTGGGAGAATACCGCGAGATGCACTTTTGTAGAAATTACAATCAACAGAACATGCGGTGGGGTGATAAGTAACCCCAGCGGATCTATAGACGATTAAAATTATTTAGTTATTTGAGTCGCAAAACGAGTTTCTATTTTTTCGGTGCACTGCCAACTTTTGTGTTCTGCACGTGCCGTTATTTATCACAAAAATTCCCAGTGGAATTTTCCATAAAAATTCTTTAACTTTAACGACTTGATAAAAAAATGATAATATGGAAGTGAGTCACATTTTTTTAGAGAAACAGTAAAATACGGAAAATACAGAAAAATAATAAAACACTAAACTGTTCCAAGTAAATTATAATTGAAGTGAGCATTTCGCATGTCGAAACAGGATGAATATTGTTACGCGGAAAAAGCTTTGAGATTGTAATAAGATGTCGTTGAGTTGAAAGAAATTTATATTTCTTGACTAAAAAAAATCGCATTAGTTTGCAATAACAGAATCACGGATTACGGCAATTCAACACAAACTTGGATATCACAAATTTCGTTCAATGTGATGTACGGAAAGCTCAATTTACACATCGGCTTCATTCGAGAAAACAACATTCAATTCATTCCTCAATGTAATCATCCCCTAGGTACGAATTTTTGATCAATTCATGAAAGTAGAAAATTTCTCCACTGGAGATTACATCAGGCTAAAAAAATAGAACTTTTCCATTTTTGTGGTGAATACATGTGACTTGACGCCAAGGACTGTTTTATTTGATTCAAGTAAATGTATCTGAAGAAGAAATAACTGATATTCACCGTAAGATCTTATTTATTTGAAATTGGTTCAAGTATATAATACTTGTTCCAAAAAAGAAACATCTCAATAAAAATAATTTTTTCTGTCAGTGTAGAATGACTGTATTTACCCGCAAGACATAAATATCTCACGAATATCTATTAATATAAATATAGAATAAAATATTTTATGAATATTCTGCTGCAGGCTTCAGCTGAAAGCCCAGGCGAGCTCTTGGACACCGACATTGACTCGAATTCCAGTGAGTACACCTCGTAAATCTAGTCATGAAAAAAATCTGGCTAATAAAAATGCATTATTCGTTTCAAGGTTTCACATCCCGAGGTCGCATTGCATGACTAAGAGTCTACAGAGTGTCACCAATTGCTTAAAGATACTCATTATTAACATAAGTGTGTTGGTTTTCCAAACACTCGAGATGGAAAAACAGGACTGACGCAGGTGGGAATGTACACTTGTTAAAATTTTGAGTTTTTCCCTCTCAATTAGAAAATGATGTTCCAATATTGTTATCGTCTGATTACTTAATTAAGTAGCTTCAGCTGTTCTCAAATAAATTGATGAACTTCTCAGTTACCCCTTCATACTATCAATAACTGTTCTAAAATCATTGTCAACTGTCACCTAATTAATTAACTGATTAGTTAATCATCTCAAATCATCTTAAATCCACCAATTGATTATAAATGAACATTTCAAAAGGCTTATTAGTGAGAATAAATATTATCATTCATTAATGGTATTGATAATTAATAATTTTAATATAGATTATTATTGTCATTAATTATTAATGCGTTGGACGATTGGATTCTTTAAATCATCGCAATGCTTATTAACATTGCAATTTATTGTTTATGCTTCCATATATGAAAAAATTCAAGAGAAAAGTCAAGCGCTTTGTCTTAAAAATTTCGTTGTATTTATATTGGAACCCTAAATGGAAAAATTTCATTGGAGTTCAATGAGAATTCTGTTAACTTAAAAAAAAATGAGCCGAAGGCCCTCGGGCAACGGCCATTTATACGAATGTATGTTTCTTGCAATAAATAACGTTAAAAGTTGAAAAAGTTAAAGTTAAAAAAAAAAATTTTTTTGTCCTTAAAAGCTCACGACCATTTTCTCCATAACTTGCAGATTACAATGCTATCAGAGTGTCTCAAAGTGAATCATCATCAGTAGGGATTCATACATGATAGTTGAAACGCATATCATCAAGGCTCTCGTGACAAGTGAACTGTAGGTTCAGGCAATTCGTTCAGATTTCATGAGGATACAAAGTATTTTTTCGAACTAAAAATCCTGAATAAAACGGCATAAAAATATTGAATAAAAATAAAAAAGCAATTTCTGCTTTGCAATAACACTAATTAATTCAATCGCTTTTTCACAGCAATAAAAATCCCAAAACCATAATCATTACTCGATGAATAAATAAAACCCCTCGAATCATTGGAAACACAATAAAAAATATTTAATACTCACCTGAAGTCTCAAATACGAACAATAATCACCTCCACCCCCAAAACAAGTAGTTTTTGTTAGAATTTCAACAGAAATCAATACCCAATAGACAATTGACAGATTGATCGTGATTGATTTTAATATTTATCAAAATTTTTCACCATCTGTTCGGAGATTTTTGAGTTTGATAAACAGAATAAATATTTCTCCTAGATTTCTCGAATGAACAAATCTCTTTATCTGACCTATTGAACAGGATATAATCTATTTTTTATAACCAAAAATACTAAATAAAATAATAAATAAAAATATTGAATAAAAATAAAAAAAGCAAAGTCAGCTGCACAATAATACTGATTAATTCAATCGCTTATTAAATGTTTACTCGTGCAATAAAAATTCCAAAACCATAACCATTACTCGATGAATAAACAAAACCCCCCGAATAATTGTAAACACACCAACAAATATTTAATACCCACCTGAAGCCTCAAATAGTAATAACAATCACCTCCACCCCCCCAAAAAAAGTAGTTTTTATGAGAATTTCAATAAAATTCAATAACCAATAGATAATTGAGAGATAGATTTTGATATTTATCAAAAATTTTCACTATCTGTTCGGAGATTTTTGAGTTTGATAAACAGAATAAATATTTCTGCTAGATTTCTTGAATGAACAAATCTCTTTATCTGACCTATTGACCAGGATATAATCTATTTTTTATAACCAAAAATACTAAATAAAATAATAAATAAAAATATTGAATAAAAATAAAAAAAGCAAAGTCAGCTGCGCAATAATACTGATTAATTCAATCGCTTATTAAATGTTTACTCGTGCAATAAAAATTCCAAAACCATAATCAGTACTCGATGAATAAATAAAACCCCTCAAAAATAAAAATAATTGTAATAATTCTAAACACACCAACGAATATTTAATACCCACCTGAAGCCTCAAATACTGACAACAATCACCTCCCCCCCCCGATCAAGTGGATGCCCAACCGGTTGTCCTTGAACGTATCAGAACGTAATTTGAAGCACGAAAAACATAACCTGCTAATCTGCGTCAAAGGCAGTTGGTGTGTTTACTGGTGTTTACACTGTCGTCGGTAAGAGGCGGTTTAACATGTGTTTCACCCCGCGCATTGATAATACACACAGTTAGTAGAATTTTTTAAATTACTTCGGAGCAATGTTCACCAGCTGACTCAGTCGATGTAAAATGTGCGAGGAGGACTGTCTGATGGGGGAAATGAAAGAGAGAGTTGTCATTGGGTATTGGTTGTCGGAGAAGAAGAGATCGAAATTCAATTGGAATGATTGGCAGAACGTCTGTGCCAAGGAGGGATTCGTCCTCAAACTGGTGAGGATTTTTTTTATTGGGTTCTTTGGGGTTCTGGGGGCGACGAGTTATTCATGGGGTTGTGCTCCAGGTGGATCTCAGTTCCAGTCTTGACTCTCAGGGACCATTCGATGTTTTTCTTCATAAGTTGACTGACACGCTGGCGCATGCTGAGGCTGGTGATCCACAGGTATTTAGGGAATTTATTTGGTTTTTTCAGGAAATTAAAAGGTTACGTTTAACGAATTGAAAGAATTAAATTAGAAGATTCTACTTTTGAGGGAAAATTGCGGAATGTAAAAACTCTTTGCAGTGAGCAAACACCCTGGAAATCAGAGAAATTTTCAAGTATTTTAATGAAATTTTTGAAGTAAGACTCAAAAAAGGTGTTCATAGGTTTTCAATAAACGTCAATTGAAACTTAAACGTCTTAGCTCAAAACTTTTGAAAGTCGTAATTTTAATTTTCTGAATAAACTTGAGTTTTTTCTCAATCAATTATTGAGTCGCAATTTGGGTAGTAATAATATTGAGTTGTGATAATGAGTCTCAAAATGCGTTTATGAAATTGAAAGAGGTCGTCAAAGCTATTTTAATAAAATTCTCAAAGTACGACTTTTAGAAAAAATTATTCAGCCATTTTCAATAAACTTTGATTGAAACATGAAGATCAAGACATTTGAAATTTGTGCTATAAAGTTTCTGAACTAAACTTGAGTTTTTCCTCAATCAATTATTGAATCTCAATTTGGGTAGTTCAATAATCTTCGGTTATGATAATGAGTCAAAATGAGTTTCTGAATTTAAAAGAGGTCATCAAAGCGCTTTAGCGCGTTGACCAAACAAGATTCTAATTTTCAGTAAAAATTTCGAAATTAAAAAACTCTGTTGTAATGAGATTTAGCAAAAATCCTGGAAATCAGAGAAATCTTCAATTATTTTAATGAAATTCTCAAAGTAAGATTTTCAGAAAAAAATGTCCAGATTTGTTCAATAAACTCGTGATTTACAGTTTCTGAACTAAACTTCAGTTTTTTCTCAATCAACGTCAGTTGCCTCTTGATTCTATGAAAATATGATGGAAATTTCACCATTTGTCGATGAATTACATCATATTGCGTGTGATTTTTCTGATAAAGAATCCGTTGAATGATTACCAAAAAACATCATGAGGAAAATCACCTGGAATTCCGTTGTAAAAACTGTTTCACAACGTATCTATAATTTAGCGTTTTCTATACCATCAATTTATTATTTTATTTTGCAGGCGATAGCCATTGTTAGCAGAGTAGAGAGTTACATTCGCAGAAATCCTCAGATGATTGTAGTGGATCCACTGGAGAATGTCAAGAAGCTGCGAGACCGTCAGAACTCTTATGAAATACTCAGAGCAGGAATTCAGTTCAATGGTAATTCATTATTAATATTTACCCGATTCCACATTGTTAAAAAATTCTATTTCCTAATGGTTCTGAAGTAAGTTTTATAAATTTCATCGAATTTTATGAAATTCTTGTTTTTGATACAAGGAAATACTGCTTTTTCCTCTTCTTCACGCTCCACTGAACCTTCAATAATTTTTTCAGATGTTTTTACACCTGATTCCATCGAATTAAAATCGAGAAATTTGTCAGAGAACCTCAGTCAACTCCATCGGCACAACATCAAGTTTCCATTTATTTGTAAGCCACTGTGGGCCCAAGGCTGCAGCAATGCCCATGAGGTAATTAAAAGCATTGATCCTCTAATAATAATTCATTACCAGACATAATTGGCTCTTATCACTTTTTTTTATTCTCATTTGATGTTTGTTGTTTAACAACAAATGTTGACGAAAAAAATTCAAAGATAAAAACAGCCCAAGTACTTCGTTACGATAATCATCAATAATTTTTAAACTATTGATCCAGATTACAATATTAAATTTTAATCAGCGCTTTAGACAATAATGAAAGAAATAAAAAATACTTTCGATTTTTCTGAATCATTTGATGGCTATAACGTTGAAAAATATTATCAATTCACTCATTAATCTTCCTCCCTCCCAAGATAATGGTCACATTTTCAAAAAAATCATAAGGATTGATCCTCTTAATATTATTATCATTTAATATTATAAAAATAATATTAAAATAATAAAAATAAAATAAAATAATAATAATGATAATATTTAATATTATTTCTTATTATAATTATTATTATTTATTCTCCAATATTCATTAACAACCACATATAATTGGTTTTTATTTCTTCGATTTGTCTTTTAATTTTATTTTAGTTTTTTAACTCCAAATGTTTACAACAATGGAAAGAAAAAAACAACCCAAGTACTTCCTTACGATAATCATCAATCGTTCTTAAACTATTAATTCAGATTGGACCAGTAATGAAGGAAAAATCAATTAATTTCTGTATGCTAAAACCATTCCATCACTTCAATTCATCACTACAAAGTTGAATAATATCATAAATTCACTCATAACTCTGGCCCCTCTCAAGATGATGGTGATATTCAACGAGGCAGATGTGAAGGACTGTCAGCCCCCCTGCGTAGCCCAGAATTTCGTAAACCACAATGCAATTTTGTACAAAGTGTTCATAGTCGGGAATCACTTCCACGTAGTTGAGCGTCCCAGTCTCAAGAACTTCTACCCGAAGGACTGCGAGTCCTCAGGGACACTATTCTTCAGCTCCCACGACATCTCCAAGAGTGGATCCACCTCCGAGTGGTCAGTAATATCGAAGGAGGACGAGGCACTGGCAGTCAAGCCCAACTACGATATTTTCGAGAAGATCGTCAGCAAAACCACGAAACTATTTGGACTCGTTCTTGTTGGAGTCGACGTTGTGATTGAAAATCACACTGGGAGATACGCCATAATCGACGTGAATGCCTTTCCAGGGTACGACGGTTACCCCCACTTTTTGATACATTTTGTCGAGACCATTAAACTCATGATATCAGAGCAAAAGTCTAGATTGAATTACCATCGAACGTCAATCCTCAAGAAATGCATGAGCACTGATTTAGACTCTGGTTTCGAGAGTGACGAGAAGAAAAAACAGTCCATGAAATGAACGGCATTTCCCTTTTTATACTTTGTAAGATAAACTAAATTGTTACATTGTAAATTTATCATGGATATAGCTAGTCAAGAGGATAATCTTGTCCAACGAATTCATTCCAAGTGGATTACTGCAGCGACTGCCAGGAACTAAGCGATTTTTGCTCTTGAAAAGTTTTGTTATTTTGATGGAAAACCGTCTGAAGAAGTCACCTACGACAATTGCATGAGAAGAATGGGAGTTTCTATGTACAAATGAATTGTTTTATTGTCAGAATATTTTATACGTTGCTGTATATTTCTTACGATCGATAAATAAAAAAATAATTGATTCTTTGAACAATACTTTTCAGTACTTGTTAAAAAATACATCCATCTGATCGTTTATGAAACAATAATGACCCATAACTTACAGGACTCCATTGTTACCACAGAAGTTATGATCCCAGATAAGAACCAACACACCACTACGTATAAAAAACCACACAGGTGATTTAAAAAGTAGACAAAGTGTTTTATTATTCAAATAATGATCTTTAAATTCCACGATTAAATCTCCTCATCTGCAGAGCAGCAGCAAAGGTCTTCGAATTAGGTTTCTGTGACTCGTCCCCAGGGAAACTAAAGTCGAAGACTTCCTCAGAATTTCTATCTACAAATCGATCGTTTTATCGTCAGAATATTTTATACATTGCTGTATATTTGTAACGATCAATAAATAAAAAAGGAATAGATTCCTTGAACAATAGAATTAAATAATTGTAAAAAAAACTCATTCACCCGATCGTTTAGCAAACAATAATGACTTATAATTTACAAGACTTCACTGTCACCACAGAAATTACGATCTCAGATAAAACCCAACACTGCACTAGGTATAAAAAATCACACAGGTGATTTACAAAATAGGCAGTGTTTTATTCTCCAAATAATCTCTAAATTCCACGATTAAATCCCCCGTCAATTATCCTCATCATTCTCTCCAGTCGAACCCCCAGCCATTTGTTGTTGCCACTGCAGAGCAGCAGCCAGGATCTTCAAATTAGGTTTCTGTGACTCGTCCCCAGGGAAACTAAAGTCGAAGACTTCCTCAGAATTTCTATTTACAAATCTATCGTTTTATCGTCAGAATATTTTATACATTGCTGTATATTTCTAACGATCAATAAATAAAAAAGTAATAGATTCCTTGAACAATAGAATTAAATAATTGTTAAAAAAACTCATTCACCCGATCGTTTAGCAAACAATAATGACTTATAATTTACAAGACTTCACTGTCACCACAGAAATTACGATCTCAGATAAAAACCAATACTCCACTAGGTATAAAAAGTCACACAGGTGATTTACAAAATAGGCAAAGTGTTTTTGTTTTTATTCTTCAAATAATCTCTAAATTCCACGATTAAATCCCCCGTCAATTATCCTCATCATTCTCTCCAGTCGAACCCCCAGCCATTTGTTGTTGCCACTGCAGAGCAGCAGCAAGGATCTTCAAATTAGGTTTCTGTGACTCGTCCTCAGGGAAAATAAAGTCGAAGACCTCCTCCCAGCCGTCCTCAGAGCCATCCTCCCCCATGACTCGTCTCCTCTTCTTGACCCTCCTGGGCATCTTCTCGATGATCTTCGCCACACTCTCCTCGTCTCCCTTCTCCTCTTCGAAGGCCTTCCAGGCCTCCAGCAGGAGTGCTCTACTCTGCTTCTCTCCACTGGCCCTCAGCGCTGAATTTCCCCTCTCGAAAATTCTCCTGGCTAGCGTTACACTGTCGATCCCCTCCTCCACGACTGGATTCGCCAGCTCGAACTTGGCGTATGTCATCCAGACTTTGACGTGCGAAGTTCTCTCCAACAGTCGTTCGAATAAATTCCTAGCATTCTGAGGCTCGTCCTGGGATATCTCGAAGTCTATGTATGCCTTCCAGAGGACCTCAGGCATGTCCAGGGTTTGTTGGGATATGGCGAGCTCATAAATCCCCCGAGCGCGATCGATATCTCCCAACAATGTCTCCAACTCTGCATACTTCATCCACGTCGTGCAGTTCTCTGGGCCAAACTCGAGGAATTTCTCGTAGAGTTTTCTACATCTGTGGAGAGCATTATTCAGTGAATTAATTGCAGTAATGTTGAACACTCAAAGGTAATTTCGATGAATGCATTTTTTTATTGTGGACTGGCAGATAATTTTGTCTCGAATTTCGAGTAAATTTTTTTCAAGTATACAAGAATTAATTTAGATTGATTTTTAAATGATTTTATTGATGCAAAAATTGACCAATTCGGTAAAAATTTATTAAATAATTTTTTCAATCGGTTTTTGTAATGATTAAATGGTTGGGATTTTCGACATTCAAGAAATCATCGTCTTGAATCTTCTGAATTCAATTATCTGAATTAACTCTGATGGATCTATTTTTTTATGTATTTAGTACTGATGAGTAATTTTTTATCTGAAGGCTTAAGTGCGAATTCCTTTCAAGTGAGAATTCAAGAACTAATTTATATTGAATTCTGATATATTTTGAGAAGGAAAAAAAGTCAATTTGGTAAAAATTCAATGAAAAATTGTACTATGATAAGATCTGATGATGACACCTGGGACTGATTAAAATTCTAGTAATTGTCCTTAAACTTCAACTTATTAAGCATTTAATTTGATGTAATGTTTAATTCTGTATATTTTTTGTAATGTCAAGTGTCAAATTTGCAATTTAATAAGTATTCAGTGCGATGTGATGTTTAGATTCAAATTTGAATTAAAATTTCAAAACTCGAATTAATGAATTCCAACATCTGAAATTTCTTGACTAATCCTGCTGAATTCATATTTTTCACGTACTGTGCATTAAAAAGCTGTATCTAAAAAATTTCACTGGAAATTTTCAAATAATTCAACAATTAATTTTAAAAAAACGTAATTCAATGTACTCTTTCTTGAAAAAGTTATTCAATTGTGCAAAAACTGAACGAAAAATCCCAATTCAACCCGACATAACGCCAAAAACAAAGTCCTCATTTTCAGTCCTCCCCCCAGACGAAAAATCCCCCATCTATCCAATTCAAACCCAAAAACCAAAAATCAACAATGACTCCTACCTGTCGAATTCCCTCAGCTGAATCTCCAAATCAATATACCCCCGATAGAGTTTATCCCTGGGACAAATCCCGAGCGCCATCCCCAGGCTCTTCCTCGCAACCCCCAAGTTCTTCTGTCGAATCTCAAACTTGGCATAAAGCAGCCAGATCTTCGAGAACGTGAAATGTTTATGAGGAATGAGATCCAGGCACGCCTTGTAAACCTCCCTGCACCTCTCCACATTCTCGGTCTCCAGTTCCTCATAAAGAGCATAATTAATCCACAGATAAATGTACCTCCTCCAGAACTCCTTGTCCTTAGTCGGTGGAACATTGGCAATGGCCCTCTCGAAGATCTCCCTGATCTCCTCATGATTCTGGGAGTTCTCAGACTCCAAGAGTTTGAGATAATCGAACCACGCGTCGTAATTCGAGGGATTCTCCCTGACCTCCTGCTCGTACTGATGCTTCCTCTTGCTGAGAATGACGTCCTCGATTCCCGATCGATCTCCATACTTCTTCTCGTGGATGGTGTAGGCCTTGTAGATCTCCTGAGTCTTGTCCTTCGGGAGTCTGTCAAGAGCATATTTGTAGATGACCCTCGTCCTCTCGTGCTCCTTCTGCCCCTCCTCGAACTTGGCGAACGCTATGAACAGCTTCTCGTCAATGTTCTCATCCCCATAGAACCAGACAGCCCTCTCGTACACCTTCCTGGCGCCATTGATGAACCCATGGGACTCCTCGAACCTCGCGTACTTGATCCAGTGCTTCACCTCTGGGTGAACAGTCACAAATTTCTCGTAGATGCTCCTCGCTCTGTCGATCTCCTTGTACCTCAGCTCGAAGTTTATGTACGTCTGCCAGGCCTGCTCGTCAGGCTCCCACTCCATCCACCTCTCGAACACCTGCCTCGCCCCAGAAATGTTCTCCAGCATCTCCTCCATGTACGTGTACTTGTACCAGAATTGATTGGCTCGAGGGAGAAATGTCACCGCTCGATCCCACAGGTTCCTCGCGTGATTCACCTGGCGATTCCTCATCTCCATCTCGGCGTACTTCAGCCATAGTGTGATGTTCCTGTGGTCCACGTCCAGGGCACGCTCGTAGATCGATCTTGCTCGGTCTATCTGCTTTTGCGTCTCCTCCCAGTGGGCGTACTTGAACCAATTCGAGAGGACCATTCGGTTCTTCCTTATGTTGTCCTCGAAGGCTTTTCGCTTTCGCTGCTGGTAGTCTGCCAGCTCGTGGGGGTCCGAGATCTTTTGCTTTGGAGGCGGTGGCAGAATCTCGAGGTCTCGCTCTTTTGCCTCGCGGAGCAGCTGCTCCGCGGTTATTTGGATCTCCGCGGGGGCTTTGTTTTTTACCTGAAATTTGAGAGGGTCATGGGTGGGGGATTGGTCATTTGGTGTAGGAATTATTTTCGGGGAATATGTGAGTATATTGGAGGAAAATTGTTCCATATTTCCTTCCGCATCCTTTGAAATCATAAATTTATATTTTATATTGACTTGAATATTTAACTTGACATGATGAATATTTGACTTGGCTTATTTGACTTGAATCGTTTTACCGCTTCGATACTGAAATGTCCCAGAAAGACAACTAGAATTAAAAAAGGTAGTAAAATACCTATTTTACTACCTTTTTTAATTCTACCTTTTTTTTAGGTAAATAGAATCAAAAAAGGTCAAATGGCCTGTTTGCCCACTAGTAGCCCTATAACCTCAAACTACCCAGTCAGCACCGTATCTCCTCAAAATCCAGACATACAACTATCTAAATAAAATCCACGTACCTTCGCCACTTTGGGCATCTTCTGTGGCTTCTCCATGACAATTTTTAAAAATTCTCCCTTAAAAACACCGAAAAAACGTCCTGCTCTCGTTGATAAACACCACTACACCTTCGCCTTCAACATGAGCGCCACGACAACGACCCCTCGCCTGCGCATCCCTCCCCGCGCACACAGGTCGCGCGCGTGTATTCAATTTTCCATTCAATCCAAATGGGTGTGCGACGGTAATTTCGACGCCTGCGTGCTGCCAGTAGTGACCATGAACGCCAGTGGATTTCCCTCAGCTCCCTAATATTTTTATTCCCCAGTGAAAAAAATGTTCGAATTGTACGGAGTTAATCGAGAGGCTACGATTTACCACTCGCCGACTGGGCGACGCAAGCAGGTGGACATTCTGGAGGTAAATGCATCCGCTGATGACGGCCCCAGCACTGGGTAATGATTTTTTTGTTGACAACTGTTGCAGACATGTCTTCAGCTATCGTCGCCAGAGTTGATGAGGAAATTGCCGAATGGAGGGACTCTGCACCACCTCAAGGAGCGTAACATGTCCCCGACGAAGGACTCGGACAGGGGCCCTTTGGGCGGGGAGAGGAGGAGCGGCTGCAGGAAGTGGCTGGTTACGTGTGGGGTTCTCCTCCTGGGGTGCGCTCTGATCACTGCTGTGGGCCTCCCCATAGCCCTGGAGTTGCGGAGTTCTCATCTCCTGGAGGCGCGGCTTCAGGTCGGTGCACGAAGAGAGAGAAAAACGCGGCATATTTTACTGTAGGGGAGGTTGCGGTAAAACGGACACTTTTGGCTTTTTTTTTTATGTTAATGAGGGGTTGAAATGTTGATAAAATTTAATAATTTTTTTTTTCAATACAAAAAACAATTCTTTCCCTTTGGGACGAGCATAAACTGAGCTCAATTGATCAATTTGTTTCTGAGTTATGAATAATTTTTGAAAAGTAAAGTGTCCGTTTTACCCCACCCTCCCCTACGAAAGATAATCGTCGACACTGAGAAAAAAATGCACTTGTGCCAAGGAATCATTTTCTTAGGAGACGAATTCAGTAGCGAAGTGGTAAAACGGTATCAGTCAATTTTGACTATTGACCAGTTTTCAATGAATATCTCGGAATCCAAGGGAGATAGCTAAATTTTTATTATCAACTTTTTTGCAGAGCCGATTGAGAGCTACAACGAATGTAAATATGAAAATTTCGCTATCTCACTTGGGCCCGGTTGCACCGTCGTCTGTTAACTAAACCGCCAGATAACGGTCTGGTAGTCCATAAGGATTACACATGGATAAATTTATCCTGGGGAAAAATAGCTTACAGGGCTCGGTGCAACCGGGCCTTAGATTCGGAAATATTCCTCAAAAACTCAACTGGGAGATAAGTCGACTTAAACCGTTTTACCACTTCGCTACTGAATTAATTTTTTTGGGAGCGTATTTCTCTGAAAAAATTCATTCTTCTCCCAAGAAAATAATTCCTTGGCAAAAGTAATCTTTTTTTCTCAGTGGAGCGAAAGGTAATTCAATGAAAAAATACCTGTTTGCGAAAAACGGGAATTTCTCGGAAACTTCGTATGAACGCGGCATATGGTTTCATGGATTTAGACATGAGGCATCGAAATGAATACTTTGAAAAGAGTGAAATCGGTTGCGTAGCTTTGCATCTATTCATCTCCAATCCAAACTGTTTTTTTTCAAATCTCATCTCATGGAGAATTCATGACGTTATTCATCATGTCAACAGTTCGTCACAGCGTTACTTCATGGACGAAAAAAACATACATTGTTAAACATTTTCGTCTGATTTTCCGTGCCAAATTCCAGAAATTTTTATCCTGTTCCTGTTCCATTAAAATTTGAGGAAATCTTGTCATTGAAAAATCAAATATTCCATTAATTTTGTGTTCAAATGATCTGGAAATCAATGAACTACTTCATTTTTCATTTGAAATAATTTGTAAAAATTTAGAAAAATCGAGAAAATTCAGGGAAAAATTGAGAATTTATCTCTTAACTATTATATTCAGACATTTTCAAGAGGCATTCCTCGACATGAATTTTCCAAGGACGTTCCGTTCTTTTTTCTCCTCTTTTCATTAATTAAAAAAACCCAAAAACTGCGAAAATTCAAGGCGAAGAATTTCTATGGAAAATATCTCCATAGAATGAGCTGTCTAATCGAATTCCATCGAATTCTATTAATTTTTTCTATAGAATATTTTCTATCAACCATTTCTATTGAGAAAAAAGCACAGATAACTTGCCGAATTTTCCTGCAGAATCGGCCAAAAACTAATAGCAAGCTCAATAGAAATCCAATCGAATTTTCAATCGTTCCTATGAAATTCTTTTCTACGTGTTGTCCAGTAATCAATTAGAATGAATTATCCCACAATAAATCGAGGTAAAATCCTCCAGGTCGTGCGGAGGATCCTCTCGGAGACGCCTCTCATCGACGGCCACAACGACTTCCTCTGGAATCTGCGGCAGAATCGGGGTCTGCACCTGGACAACTTCCCCTTCGACGAAGATCTGTCCCAGAATACGACACTGGGGCCGCTCTGGCAGACTGACCTCGCGAGGCTGCACCAGGGGAACATTGGCGCCCAATTCTGGTCGGCTTACGTTCCCTGTGAGGCGCAGTTCCTGGATGCCGTGCAGCTGACACTCGAGCAAATTGATATTGTCAGGAGACTGAGCGCAAAGTACCCGAAGAGAATGAGATTCGTCACTTCAAGTGAGGAGCTCAAACGGGCGCACAAGGATGGGGTTCTTGCGAGCCTCTTTGGGATCGAAGGGGGACACAGCATTGGGGCTTCCATGGCGGTTCTCAGGAGCTTTCATCTGCTGGGGGCCAGATACATGACGCTAACTCATAAATGCAGTACTCCATGGTATTCTGGGGGGTTTTATTTGTTGATTATCGTTCCCTTCGGTATTTATGGGATGGCAGTGTCATGATATACGGGACGTTTTCCCGTGGATTCAAAGTAATTTCTACCGTGGATATATGGGAGATCGTGGACCCTCAACTTTTACTTCTCAAATTAAATCTAGACAATAAACTAGACACATCGAATCAATTGATAAGTGATATGGAGATTGTAGACTACACGGAGAGAAATATTCAATAAAAATTACGTAGGGTGAACCAACCAGTGTTCGAACCAGTCCAGTAATCGAACTAATTGGTACTTTTTCTATAAAATAAATTAGTAGAAGGTAGAGATGCCTCGCATTATACATGAAAAATAAAATTATGACATTTCCAAATGATATTGTGATGATTGAAAATGTCTAAGGTACCTTATTACCAGCGGAAAGAGTATTTTTCCGGCCTGTTGCGATGGGGTTTTTTACTCGTGTGGCGTTGGCCTCCGAGCCGTAGGCGAGGACTGACCAACCACACATTTTCACACATTTTCACACATTTTACACATTTTCAGCTTTTTGTATTCATATCATTAATGNTAAAATTATGACATTTCCAAATGATATTGTGATGATTGAAAATGTCTAAGGTACCTTATTACCAGCGGAAAGAGTATTTTTCCGGCCTGTTGCGAAGTATTTTTCCGGCCTGTTGCGATGGGGTTTTTTACCGTAGGCGAGGACTGACCAACCACACATTTTCACACATTTTCACACATTTTACACATTTTCAGCTTTTTGTATTCATATCATTAATGGTATCGTCAATTAATATCCATAATATTTTTTTCTATTATCTATGGAGATGTACAGGGGAGTTATAATTATTTTTAAATCAATTTTCGACTTGGTTATATTTTTAAATCTACGTAAAAAATAACTGTGACCTTATTCGTTCGACCACTGGACGGGTCACCCTATCTTTTCCGTAATCCCGAAGCGAAATGTGGTTGTAGGAAATTTTACGGAACTATAACGGAATTTTTCCAGAGCGTTCCGTAATTTTTATCTGAATCTCCTGCGAAAATCTGTAAAATCTTGAAAAATAACATGCACCTCATAATTTCCGTTCTGATCAATAAGACATTTCGAATGAAAGTTATTGGAAAGGGGTCTATGGTTGTGCACTCCACCTCAATTACAAAGGACTCATTAACTTTTATCGTTCGTTCGGCCGGAAAACCAATAGAAAGCAGAAGAGCCAGGTTTGTTAGTACTGGCAATGTTTCTGTTTCCAGGGCTGATTCCTCATCCGCAGAGGATCCGAACGAGTACGCCCCAATGGATTTCCACAGTGACGGGCTGTCTGCCTTCGGCAAATCAGTCGTAAAGGAGTTGAATCGATTAGGAATGCTCATTGATTTGTCCCACGTTTCTACTCGCACTATGAGGGACACCTTGGCCATCACCAAGGCACCGGTTATATTTTCCCACAGTGCTGCTCGAGCACTCTGCAACTCTTCCAGCAATGTTCCTGATGACATTCTCCGGAATTTGGTACAGAACATAATTCATTCGTGAAGAGGAACGAAATGAGATAATCTAATTGTAGAGTCGATGAGTTTCTAATGAATATTCCGAACTTCTTAATAACGAAAATGCGGACATTTTTCATCTTTCAATTTTTTTATTGAGTCTCAATTTTCTTTTTCGAAAATGCTTTCATGAACATTTAACTGTCTATTGTGAATTAGAATAAATCTGAAGATGACTTTTTTCATTTTCGGTATTAAATTAAGGATATCCAAGTACTTTGGATATTCCTTTTCCGGTGAATTGCTCTTCTTCTTTTGTAGTTTAACATCAAAGCTTTCATTTGAGCCCGATTTAACCCCATGTTTTCGGACATTTTACTATAATTTTATTATTTAAATTTGCAGGTCTCAATTTGTAATTAATTGAAAATAATTCGTCATTGGAATCATTCATGGCAGTTGTGGCATCAAAACCTCTTTGAAATTTCTTTTTAATTATAAATTAAATAATTTATAGTCACACAAATAATTTACATGATTCGAGTAAATTATTTTCTGGCTATCAGATCATGAATTTGGAATGAAAAAAAATATAGGTCTCAATTCTCTCCGCAAAAAAAATCTTCCGACGATTTCATGACAATTTCCCGCTGTCTTGCAAATTATAAAATATAAGAAATTGAAAGTTTTTACGATTTATTAAATTAGCGACACTCATAGAACTTTTTACTAATTGCCACATTAATGCATTGTTTATAATTAACCAAATATGAGTCCCAACGCTTTTCGGAAAATAGTAGTTTATTTAAACATGAAAATGTGGTCTAAATAAATAATTCACCATAAAACAAATCATTAATATAATTCAGTAGCGAAGTGGTAAAAGCAGATAAGTGCATTAAAAAAAATGATTGCGTGAATCACAAGGAAATATTAATTTTCAATAGATAATAATAATATTACGAATTTGGAAAAAAATGCACTCATCTCCTTTTACCACTCCGCTACTGAATTCAACTAAATTTGTTTTCGCTTTTGAGGTCATGATCTGCTACTGAAAAAATTAAAAACTCATTCAAGTTCCCTATTCTTGATTTTCAACCGTTTCATCAGTATTTTTATACTGATTATATTTTTATCTCTTTTATAGTCAGTGAATGGTGGTCTGGTAATGATCAGTTTTGACAGTGCGCATCTGAGCTGCGGCGATACGGCATCTATGTACGATATAATAGGTAAACAGCTCCCAAAACATTCGCCCAATATTCGAGTTTTATTTATATGTACAAATAAACTCGGTTTCTAGCGCACATAAATCACATAAGGAAGAACGCTGGGGTGAATCACGTGGGCCTGGGCGCTGGGTACGACGGGATTATGAACCCCCCGACGGAGCTCCCCGACGTCTCGGGATATCCTCTCCTCCTGGCTGAGTTGACTCGCGATCGCAGGTAGGGCTGCAATGAATAGTAAATTTCCCGCTTGTTTCCTCGCCTGCGGCTCGGCCCACCAACTCCCCACGAGTAAAAACCCCATAACGATAGCCCGGACAACATTGTCCCCTAGTGATTTTCACTTTTGCGGGTTTGGGAAGAGCTAATTACCAATCCCCGGACGGGGAAAACTGAAGCGCAACACGAGAAAACAAATTGCCGGTCAATATACCGTCATTTTACGCGTAAACTATGCCTCACTGAGCGTTAATTAATTACTAATTTTGTTCGGTGAGAAAAAAAAAGACAAAATCTCGTCACAAAAATGATGGCGTGACATAAAATAATTGCTGATGATTCCTAAAATGGTGACCGGCCAATCGATCACGGCCTTTTTATCACAATCGAAATAATCACGGCAAAATTATCACAAACCAAAATATCATGAACCAAAAATATCACGAACAAAAAGATCACAGCCAAATGATCACAAACAAAAATATCACAGTCCAAATGATCATAAATAATCCTTTAAGCCTCCTCGTTGTATAAAAATTGAATTCTAATTCCAACGGGTCTTTCTCCTCACGTATCAATCAGATAACTCAGGAAATACCTATTATTTCCATGAAAACTCAAGTTGGTGAGCGAGATATTGATTGTTGGGTTGTTATTGTTTACTCTTGGTTGCCTTTCTTCCTTTCTGACCTTCATTGTTCTGAGTTCCATTCGTTTGTGATATTGTCGTTTGTGACGTTTCAGCTGTGATATTCTTATCGGTGATATTTTTGCTTGTGATATTTTTGTTTGTGATATTTTTGACGTGATTTTTTTGTCGTGATATTTTGGTCCGTGATAAAAAGTACTGTAACCCCTAAAATTGACAGGCAGCTAGCGCTACGAATTGTTCTTTGCGCTGACTTGCCGCATACAAAAAATGACGGTAATTTTGCATTCCCAATCGCAGGTGGTCATCCACGGACATAAAGAAACTTGTCGGAGGGAATCTCATCAGGGTGATGAAGGAAGTCGAGGATCATGCCGCATCCCTCTCCAATCAGTCACCCAATGAGGAGTGGATACCCCAAGAAGTCATCGAGGATACATCCTACTGTCGATACCACGACGAGTGAAATTATCATCATTCATCATAATTAGCATTCCATTGCGCCATTCATATCGTACATTTATATGAAACAAATTTCTATTATCATGCATCCCGTGCACAATCTGTATATATTCAATGGTACAACTTGTGAATATCTTGTGATATCTTCGGTTCATGTCGCGATTTGTGGCTTTGGCTCCGGCTGAAGAATTTATTCAGCGGGAGTCAAGTAAAATGTAATATGTTGGATTCGACGTTTTGATGAGGGAGCATTGAGTTGCCAAAAGAAGGAAAGATTTGGAAAAGAAATGTCTTTTTTCGGGTTCAAAGGGATGTCGAATTATTTCGATTACAATTTATTCTAGTAGAAAATGTCAAGAGATATTTTTCCTGGAGAGAAGTGCATTCCCTATAATAAGGTCTCTCCAATATGTTCGGCTTTTATTCATAAATTATCTTTCAACTTTTTTTTTTCTATAAAAACAATTATTGAATCATATTGTTAAATTATTAAATCAATAAAAAAAATTATTCAATTATTAATAATTATAAATAATACTAATAATAATAATGTTATTATTAATAATAATAATTCTTTTAATTAATAATTAAAAATAACATTTTTAAATTATACTCAAGAGGCAGTTTTCGTCTGAAACTGAATTCTCTACAGAAAAAATCTCCTGACATTATCCCCCTAAAAGGACTCCTCATCGAGAAAATGTCGTAATCGAAAACATTTTGAATTCGACGTATTCGTTTTACCCACCATCTGAGGTTTGTGTCGTTCCACTGATAATTGAATGACCACAATTACCGATCACTTGACGGTAATTACTTGCCATGATTTCTCAATGAATAACTGTATAACTCGACATTAATTTTCTTTTATATGAAGATCAAATACACGAGGAACGCAATTGTTATTAAAACCTTGAATTTCATTGAATCCCATCACCCAATCAGATGAATCTTAAATCTCCAAATATTGTTGGACAGTTAATAATAGGGGGGTAACCTGGAATATCACGATGGGAGCTAGGTACAACTCCTGTTTTTTCACTTAAGAAATTATTCTTCTCAATAAATTGTTTTGCTCAAGAAATTATTTTTCTTGAGTCCATAACATCGCATGCATATTCGATCAATTAATGGTAGGTTTCAGAAATATGAGGAAAAATATGTGATTGCTTTCCTTCGAGCTCATTGCGATTGAGAGCAGGTGACGGTTATATTTTAGAAATGACTGAAGGTTCTCCCCTGGACAAATTCTGCATTCGTGATATCATTGGCTTCCGGGTAGATGCCGCGTTTGGTTTCACCATTGCGACGAAGTTTCGCAAACGTTGCAGTCTGCATTTTCAGGGCATGAGTTCAGATTCTCAGATTCTATGAGCTCCTATTCTCAGAATCTGTGTAGACTGTTAGAAATTTTTTGAAATTCCATGGAAGATATTATAGTAAATCTCATGAGAGTGACATTGGATTGGATTTAGGGAAAAAATGGTTATGAAAGTTCAAGTTTTGAGTGGAATTGACGGAAATTCATGAGTTTTCAGTGGGAGTGAGATGGAAATGAGCCGAGCTCTTCGCGTCCTGAGAAAAATTCCGCACGTAGAGAAATGTTCAGTAACAATTACGGAACTCACAGTTCGATCCCGACCACGGAATCGACTCAGAAAATTCAAGTATCGGTGTCGTAATATTTCATAGGAGATTCAAGTAAAAATTACGTGATATTCCGTAAAATTTCCTACAACCACAATTTCGCTCAGAAATCACGGAAAAGATACATAATTTTTATTGAATATTTCCCTCCGTGCGCATGTATTTGCGAATGAAATTCTCGTAGATAAGAAGTTGTCTATATAGATTTCCAATATCAGAGATTTTTCACACTGCATTCATTTCTACTGAATAGAAAATTATTATTCTCATCAGTACTCCCAATAATAAAAAAAGTTAATAAACAAAAGTTGGTTAAAAAAAAAGTTGATAAATTTTTTTTTGCTTGAATTGCGTCCAACAGTCGTTTTTTGACGGTTTCAATTTCGCTCCACTCTCCCCTATCTTCATTAAAATTTGAATGCATAATTAAAATTTTCAACTGACTATGACTATGAAATAATTGACAATATAGAATTATCAATTGACTATTGAGTAAATATTTCTGAATTTCATAAAATGATTTTCGATTTTTGATTTAGCCAAATAATCGTCAATCAAATTCTTCCCAAATCAATTATTAATTGATAAAATAATTCGGAATTTGAATATTTAATTGAGGATTCATTTACTAATTAAAAAATTGATGAGTAATATTAACAATCGACTTATTCAAAAATTAACTGCATTTAAAATTTATAATTATGCCGATGTCTGGTAAGAGAAAGAGAATCCCGGGGAGCACAGTTAGAAATGAGAGTAAATCCATAAATCCAATTCAATTTCACTCTTATGAGTGAAATTGAATTGGATTTACGGAAAAATCGGTTATAAAATTTCTAGTTTTAGGTGGAATTCAAGGAAATTCACGAGTTTTAAGTGAGAGTGACATGAAAATTTTATAAGTTGATTGAATGTTCAGTGGAACATGAATATTCAGAAACAAAATGACATGAATTGTCAATTTTCCCCTGAATTTTCCTGATTTTTCAGAATTTTTGTAGAACAATTGAACTGAAAAATCAGATAATTTATTGATTTTTAGATCATTTGACCAGAAAATCAGCGGAATATTTGACATTTCAATGATAAGATTTCCTCAAATTTCACTGGAACTTAACGATAAAGACGATAAAAACTTCCGGAATTTTCAACAGTGTGAGAAAGTTTCCACTAGCGAAGAGGGAGGGGAGGAGGGGATGAATCCGATAGAAGGCAAAGGAGGGGCATTAAGAGATTACCACTGACCGAGACTCAACTCCTCCGCACAAACTTTTATTACAGTTGACAACCGGCCCATCGTTGGATCAACGCTGCGAGCACGTGCGCGTCTGTTGTTGTCCCTCGACTAAATCTAAAATGATCGTAATTAACTCATAAAGTGAATCTAGTTCAGCAAGATCAAGTGCTCAATCAGTAAAACGAAAAGAAGAAAAACTCGAGTGCGAAAGTGTAAGTTAAAATTTCACTACTTGTTCCACTTGAACCACTTTTTCTCCCATAGTTTTTCATCGAATTAAATCTCTACATTAACTTAATAACGGAGTTCAGTGATGAATGATGACTGAGTCGGCGCAATTCTGCACTTTTGCCACCTAAAATCGTAATTTCACACTCGGAAACTGTTTAACGCGCGGTTTACCTTAGCCATGCGGCACTGATTCATCCATATTCGTTCTTAATTAGACTGGCGATACACATGGTTGATTCAATGTGGCCTCGTCATGTTTCACCCATCCCTATTCTCGATGATCTTCTCCGATGCACGAACATTACTCAAATTATTTCGAGAGTCTTCGGTAATTTGCGCATCGGTGATCACGACTAATCTCACAAGAGAAAATCCGCTATTATTGAGACTTTATTATTCCTCAATTCTTTTCCTCAAATAGGGTGACCAGGCCAATTGCTGGACGGTTAAAGGAAATTCGAGTGTCGTGGTAGGATCTAAAATGAAAGAATCACCTAAATGGGGATATGATGGCTTCCCTACCTTCAAGAATGTTTTGATTAGCCGGAAAAATCAGTTTAAAGTAAAAATAACAAAACAAAGAATAATTAAATTGAGAAATAGGTGAATGTAGCCGAAACCCCCAATTTCTGGACGACTGGGTCATATTTTTTTTTTATTTCAAATGTTGATCAATAGAAGAAAATAATTGATCACATGATTATACACAAGTGATATTATGGAGAGGTGAAATAATCAATACAATTTTCCTTTTATTTGTTCCCTTTCAAGGAAAGGTCGTAATCTTCCGGCTGTTATCGTCACTAGTCATTCACTCTCGTTTCCTTCGACGAAATTTTGTTTTCCGGGACAATAATCTCTTTCTGCATCTCTAATCGTTTCGATAATGAATGGGTTTTAAGGAAAAGGGGGCTCGGAGGAAGAGTCTATCGACATTTGGAATGACTAAATATTTAACTAGGTGTTGAAAAAGTTGATTATATTGGTGACAAGTGAATATTGATTATACTGTGACACTGAGAACAAGCAGGGTTGCGAGCCTATTCGACAGAAGAGACAAACCGTTATTTCATTGGGTATTAGTGTTTTGATTCTTTCTCTCTCTACCGATCCATTGGTAATAAGCTTCCGAATGGATCTGTCGCAATGGGCCTGTGATAAATAGCGCTGAAAATTCTTCTTGGAAAATTTCCCATATTTTTTTCTCCACCGACTTTCGTTATTATTATTTTTATCGTTATTTTCATTTGTTTGAATGGTAAGTTAATTGTCATTTCTAGGATTATTCTTCTCCAGTGTCTCTCTGTTGTACTGTTCAATTTTGCTGGGTGGCATTTTTATTATGTAAAAGTCGACGATTGCAAAGCTTCCATTCGAAAGCAAAATGACTATTTCTGTGGGCGAAAAGTAATCGTGGAGCGAAATATAATTGAGCGAAAAAATACCTGTTTGTGGAGTATATTTTACGAGGGGAGTAAAACGGGGTAAAACGGACACTTTCGACTTTTTTTTTTATTATTCATAACTCAGAAACAAATTGATCAATTGAGCTCAGTTTAGGCTCGTCACAAAGGGAAAGAATTGTTCTTTGTATTGAAAAAAAAACTATTGAATTTTATTAACATTTCAACCCCTCATTAACATTTTTAAAAAAGTCAAAAGTGTCCGTTTTACCCCAACCTCCCCTATTGGTTCGGTAAAAAAACACCTATGGATACAACAGTTATCCTTTCGTACAGTAAAATTTCCGATACCGGTAGAGTATTTTTGTTCTTGACGAATGGACGAATCGAAGTGACATTTCACTGGGATAATTTTTAATGGAATGCTGGGTAAATTTTAGTTTCGGCACAAATTACCCTGACGTTCAGTAAATTTCCCCGGGTCAACGGAGAAAAAATATTCGTCTCGCACTTTGCGACTACGCCGACGCGAAAAATACGGTTTAACCACGCAAGGTAAAATAAGGAACTTTTACCCACGTGCGGAATTACCACCCGATTAAGCACGTGGGATTGACCCCTCTATTTTACCTCTCTAGGTTAGAAATGGACTATTGCACGCATGAAAAAATTTAATAGAAAACCTTAGCGAATTTATTTTTTGCCATCAAATATCTCATAGGATTAGTGCAAAAAAACAAGAATTTTTAGAGAATTCCAGTTAAATTTTCTAACGAATTCGCTTAGTTTCTGTATTGAATTTTTTCATATTTGTACTTTCTGATGAGCGGGAGGAAAGTCAATACTTTCCACTCTAGAGCGAGCAGCACTCATTTTCCTTCCGCTCATTGGTGAGCAAAGTACGAATTTTCCGTGCAGATGTGTGAAAAAGATTTATTTTACTACATGGAGAGAAATGTTCAGTAAAAATTACGGAACGCTCTGGAAAAATTCCGTGACAGTTCCGTAAAATTTCCTGCACCCACATTTCGCTCCAGAATTACGGAAAAGATACGTAATTTTTATTGAATATTTCCATCCGTGTAGGAAAAGTCGAAAGCCCGTTTTTTTTTTAAAATTCAATCCTTCATAAAAATATTTTCTGACTTTTCCTCCTGAACCCATTCATCATTGACCTAATTTGATATTCAAGCAGACGTTGCATTTATTTCTAATTATTCTGATAATGAGGGGCCAAATCATCATCATTTTCAGGAAAAAAAGTGTTTTTTTGGAGATAACAAATTCTTCTATGAAATAAAAAAATTGTAATCATAATTCAATTCGTCATAATCTTCTCCCACAGATCCATCAGCTGTCCGATCCACAACATACAATGCGGTACAAGGTAAGTCGGAAAATATAAATCAACATCATTAATAATTCCCTGCACTGTCTATTACGGTGAACCAATCCCAGATGAATATGAAGGTAAAAATAAAATAAATGCTCGAAGAAAAAAATATCGTGAATAAAACATGCGGATTCCCCACAACGAACACCTCTACAATACCGATTGATTTGAATAATTGCTGGGTACAAGATCATTACCGTCATCATCATCACCTGTTCATCATCTTCAATTTCCCGTAAAAAACGAGTTTTTCTCTATAATTCCGGACGAAAATTACAGTGTCGTAAAGTGGAATTATTCTCCACAGTCGCCGTAGTTAATTCTGTGGCAAGGATTATATTTTCGTGAGACTGCTACATCTAGAGCAACTGATTTGAATAAAATAAAACTTTTTATTCAAAATTTCTCTGCTCATCTCAAGCATATTTCTATTGAGCATTGATGAACTTCTATAGTTATTTCAATGAAAACATTTAAATGGTCTATGCGTTTTAATAGTTTGTCTTCAAATGTTTTTATTTTTATATGAAATATAATTATTTATTTTCCATAACTAAAAAAACGTAAAAGAAAATCCCGTTTAAGTTTGAATGAGATCTTTATGTCAAGCTCTTCAAATAAATCTAGTAAATTAATTCAAATAAATTAAAATTAAGCATTTGGAAATATCAAACTTTGAAATAACATTATCTGAATTGAAAATCGCCTATTTTTTCGTATTTTTTCCTCGATGTGGCCGAGATTGTTACACCTAGAGTATTTGAAGCAAATAAAACTTTTCATTCAAAATTTCTCTGTTCATTTCAAGCATATGAGATCCACGCGAAATCAGCAGGACAATAAAATCGGTGCTCAGGGTTTTCGTCTCAATTTAAATCGGAAAAGATGGCAATTACACGAAAATTTTGAGAAAAGAAAAATTGAAAAATATGGATAATTGAGAGAGTTATGATTTTTTTTTAATTGCTAGTTTTTGTTCAAAAAAAATTCTTTTCCAAATTGGTCTCAATATCTCTGCGGGGTATCAAGCTATCAAATCGCCCTTTGGCTCACTCAAAGGACATGAAAAATCCTTCAAAATGAGACGTCATACTTAACATTATCTTCAGTTTAACGGGTTTTATACGAGCAAACTTTTTTTTTAATCATTAATTACTCAAAGCGCTAATTTGATCTAATTCGGGAATTTTCACCAAAAATTGTCAATAAAATGTCAAGAATTTTGGCGCCAATTAAAGTTTGTCTTTTGCCGTAATTCAGTGGTTATTAATTTTTTTGTTACGACGAGTGTTGACAATGACCGAAAATCGCTATTATTCATGCAATTATCGCTCAAATAAGTGAATATTCAATTAAATAGGAACAAATGTTGGAAATTAAACTCATTATATCTTCTCTTATTCATCATCAGTGTGACTTCTTGAGTAAAAAATTATTATTTCTCTAATTATACAATGGAAATACATTTTTCAAAGAGCCTATTTGTTGGTAATCGAGAATTTAATCGAAATGACTCATTTTTAATTATACAATTGAATATTCACTCATTTGGGGGATAATTGCATAAATAATAGCAACTTTCGGACATTTTCAATAGTTGTCCCACTGAAAAAAATAAGCGGCGAATTACGGCGAAAGACAAACTCTAATTGGCTCCAAAATTCCTTTCATTTTACTAACAAAACTGTTAGTGAAAATTTCAGATGTTAAAAAAATTAGCTTTTTTAAAAAAATTTCAACATTTTTATCGAATCGCCATCTTTTCAGGAAAAAATCAAGACAAAAATCCCCAGCATCGACTCTTTGTCCTGTCGATTTGTCATGCATCTGCTCAAATTTAAGTTTGAAATCAGTGAACTTCAATATTTATTGTTCAATGTAAATGTTTCAATAAAAACATTTGAATGCTCCATGCGTTTTGCATAATAAATAAAACCGCAGTGAATGAAGGAACGCAAACGAAAATCAGCTTCAAGTTTGAATGAAACCCTTATGTTTTAATTTAAATAAATTGAAATTGAAAGTGTTGAGATATAAGAATTGTAAACTACGATAAATTGAATTCAAAACGGCGCAATTTTTTTCGTATTTTCTGCTTCGCGGGAGGACGCGTGTCACCGCACGTGCGTCATTAAGCAATTGCCGTCATGCCGAGTGCCATGCCAACGAAATAATTCAACTGATATTTCGCCCCAAGTCCGGAAGAATCGTCTGTTTGTCAGCTTATCTCGCGTCGCGCTCGTTGACCTCTAACTATTCACCAAGAGATGCCCCACCGAGTAGCGCTAGCCAAGCGATTGATGACCACTCGATTGTTCCCGATTACCGAACACGAGAGTTGATACAGGGACACACATAATGCCATTGCTGTACACAATAACGAGCGAATTAATATGTACGTCAATGATCGCTATATTTATAAACTGAAGAAGAAGGAAGTGTTCGCTGTCAGTTGCTGAAGAGGTACGAATCGAGGCGTTTAGAAGCCCCAATATAAAGCACATAACACCTCACTTTAGAGTCAAGTGATGGTACATAGGTGGACGGTGGAGTATATAACGAGAATTGAGCTCGGTATATTGGGCATTATCAGAGGCATTCAATGTAATGATCCTCCTCTGCTCTGATTATATCACTTTTTTCACTCGGGTTTTGCTCCTGGATTTTTAAACGGATGTTCGGTCCACGCGACGGTGAAATCGCGTTCATTCGGGAATTTATTTTGCCGGGAGTGATACGACATTGGGTCGTGATGATAAGAGTTCTTTCTTTCAACTATTCTGAAGTTTTTACGTGAATAATTCCGAGTTATGGTGCGGCGCAGTTATCGAGTGATTGCAGAAGTATGTGAAGTTACTGGGGTTTCCCAGAATCTGGTGATAGGGCCATTGTTTGAAATGATTTTCATTCGGTGGATACACTGAGAAAAAAATTATTTTTGCAGAATATTCATTTGCTAATTATTTGAAGAAAATTCTGAAAATCACGAAAATTTAGGTCTTTTTTGTTTCACATACACTGTTAGTAAATTGCTCTCGAAATTTGTAAGTGAAAAAGCTTGAAATTTTTAACAACAACAAATTTACATGAAATTTCTGTAAATTCTTCATTGACGAATCAGTTAATTTCTTGAATATTCAAGTAATTCTCGATTTTCAGGTCCTTACGGCACTGAAAACCCTTGAAAATTTTGAAAATTCAGGGAATAACTTTTTTAAATTTTTAATCTAATGAAAATTGAATTGTTTGTGATGTTCAATTTTCACGATGAGATTGGAAATTCAAGCTTTCATTGAAAAATCAATAATTCTTTAGCATAAAAAACCCAATTTTCTTGAATTATCAAGACGAATGAGAAATTTAGTGAACGTTTTCATTTGAAATTGAATTCAAACTCACAACATTGAAAATTCAGATGACATTGTGACTGAAATTTCAAGAAATTTCTAACAGTATAGTCATGTTTAATGGAAAATTCGAATAGGTTGTGGAATTTCAGTGTTAGTTCTGCAGAGTTAAGAATTTCCTGGAATTCTATCTAAAATTTGACGTTTCATGACCACTTTTTCATTTAATGTGATTTAACGCAACTTTTATGAAAATTATGACATTGTTAGAGAACAAATTTTAATTCCATGGAATTTGAAATTTGTCAGCAGCAGGAAGACGAGACTTTTCCAATTCATTTGAAATTCCAATCAAAACATGAATATCCAGAACCAAGTTGAACTGAATTTCCAACTAACTGGAAATTTAAGTATATATTCACCTGAATTTTCCTAATTTCAATTCATTTTCATGAAATAATTGCCCAAAAATTAACAATTTCCAGTGATTTTTCTATCAAATTGTGAACTTGATAAAAATTCCACGAAGTATATTGGAAATTTCATCCAAAATTATTGAGCAATGTGTCTAATCTCAAAAATCTCAATTTTTTCTAAAAGTGCAATTGCACAAATTCGTGCCTCAATTTCCACAAATGTAAATAATTTTTTTCTAACGCGGCCCTGACAACAAAAATCTCAATAACTATTCCAGAAGTTAATGGATTCGCCAATAACACCGCAATGTCAAGAGCAATTATCCAGCAGTGCAGAGGCAAAATAGTTGAAATGCGTAGAATTAATTAGAGAATGAAGTATAGAATTTGCTGGTTATGACTGGCGCTGATTATACGACGAAGGATTATGTAAGGTATTAACATGTAAATTTGTACGTGGAACATTGGCAGGTAAACGATCCGGAGAATAATGACAGAGGCTCGACGATCATGGAGCAGGATAATTCCAGTCGGTGAGTTACAATGGGACACATTGTTGTGGATTTTATGGGGATTGTTTGAGTTTTTTTTGTTACTGTCGGTTGTTCAGGTTTAATCGGGAGTGCGGTGAGAAAAAATTGTACAAGGAGAGGCGGCTGATGATTGTCGTTGTGTTGTTGGTGGTCGCTGTGATTGCTCTCGTGGCGACGCTTTGTCTACAGATGACGATTTTTAATTCGAGGTGGGAGGAGGGGGAAATGTGCCAAAGTGATGAATGTATTAGAACAGGTATTTTTTTATGAGCTTCTGGGGATTTCGGGAGGATATTCAGGGTCTGGACTATCTCGGAAAATGACGCGGGATTCGGAATTAAATCGAATAAAAATGTCGATTCTCAAATTTTGTTTTCATTCCAATCATTTTTTTTGTGGAGATTGATAGTATGTGATTATTTCAGTAGGAATGTTTTCATTGAATGAAATTAATAATTAATTTTATTTTGCAACGAAAATTTTTCATTCCGGCGCACTCTGCATGTTTGGCACAAAAAAATCCTTTTTTGATAATTTTCAAAAAACTATTTTCTTGGCACAAGTAAGACTTGTTTAAGAACTTTGTCGTTTTTCTCTCAGTGTAGGCAGTAACCACTGTCACCGATAATTGGGGAAAGATTCCCGAAAATCAAAACTTTTCTTCCCTGTTTCTTAAAAATTGTGGATAGATCCATAACAACTAATTTATTAATTTTTCTTCACGTAACATTCACTTTCAAAGAGATTAAAAAACAGCAGCAACTCGGAATATCCTCGACGAGTCCCGTAATATTCCATCATCCCACCCGATAACTATCATTATGACATATTTTAGCTGCGAGAATGATTGAAGGAATGAACAGGACAGTAGCTCCTTGCGAGGATTTTTACAAATTCGCCTGCTCAGGCTGGGTCGCCAGAAATCCAATACCTCAGACTCAAACTTCCTGGGACCAACTGAGTCTTCTGAGAGAAGAGTTGTTACAGAATCTCAGGATTCTGCTTGAGGAACCCGATCGAGAGGATGATTTGCGCCCTGTCAAGCTGGCCAGGGCCCTTTATAGAACGTGCATGGATACTGGTAATTCAAAATCTTTCGATACCATCACTAGTTCAATTCTCTCGTGTATCCGGACGACAAAATCGAGAAATACTTGAATATTCAAGAAATTAACTAATTCGGCAATGAAGAATTCTACAGAAATTTCATCTAACTTTGTCGTTGTTAAAAATTTCAAGGTTTTTCACTTGAAATTTGAAGAGTGATTTTCTGACAGTGTATAATGTGATAACAAATTCCAAAAAGCCGACCGAAATTTTTTTAACCTTGTATTATTGCCCACGCGTGCATAAAAGTCTAGGATGTATGTAAAATATACAATATATCTCACAACATCATTTCTATCATATTTTGTTATACTTTTCTTTTATTCCTTGCGATTCTCATCAATTAATTCGTTTTATTTTTCCAACAGAAAGTGTTGAAAAATTGGGACTGAAACCTATATTCAAGATTCTCTCTCTAGTCGGTTTATCCCGAGACCCTCCGTCGATGAATGCCCTGGAAAATAACACTGAGATTGACCTAGATGTAGTAAGAATAGCGGGAGTGGCCCGGAGACACTTGGGTCTCAATCTTTTCGTGAATTTCTACATAAGCGAGGACATTCGTGACACGACTCAAAATCGGATGATGGTAACTGTTTAATTCTGTCCCATTGTTCCTCTAGATCAATGATTAAAGGCTTTGCATGCATTTAAAATTAAGGGAACATCCTTTTTTATTTGATAGGTTTCAATTTTTCATATGAAGTTTCCCAAAATTTTAATGATTAAATGAGTTATTACGATTCTTCAGAGTAAAATGAATGATTATAATATTCAATCGTAATAAATTATAATGTGTTATTTTGAAAATTATAAATTCCAGTACCAAAACGCCCTAATTTGAGTACCACAGGTACAGCATTTCAGTAATAATTACTCGGAACTAAAACTTTTTTGCGGATTCTCGGGAAAATTCCATTGAAATCCAGAGACAATTTCTGGAAACCAGAAAATTTTTTTGTGTAAACACTCTTGACTTTTGTTGAAATGTCAATAACTCGTTGAATTATTAATTAGTTAATTGATGAATGTTATTCAAGAATTTTTTAATTATTAAATTAATCATCAATTAAATATTCAAATTGCTCAAATAATAAATAGATTGAACTAGGAACTCTAATTTTATCAGAATTTTTAAGCGTCGAGCAGCACGATAAAATATAAAAAAACCAAAACGGGTGGCGCTGCGCTCATTGAGCGAGTGATCGAGGGTTAAGGGGCAACTTGTCTTAATATTAATAATCTAATGAATGCTAATCCCGATAAAAACCCTTGAAAATTAATTAGCCCACCTAATACTTTAAAAAAGCCCAATCATTATCAAGCAAATGCCAATTAGATGGAGCAGGTTTCGCCGGGATTTAGCGAGCGATATCTCACCGATCCCATTCGATTCAAATCAGAACTTATGGAATACAAGCGTTACGTCAAAGAGATGGTGGAACTAGCAGGCATGACTCCTGAAAATAGTACAGCATTCGCCGATGAGATACTCGACTTCAGTACGCAAATAGCAAAGGTAATGAGAGATAAGAATGCTAAAATACTATCGAGAAATATGGAATTGAAAAATTATTGCTTTGCAACTGCCTCCAGACACTGGCAACGCCGGAGGAGAGGAGAAGCTCGAATCATTTGCTCCATGACGTGACTGTCAGTGACCTTCAAGCATTGACTGATGCACTTGCATTGAGAGTAAGCAAAAATATAAATAGAGTTTTTATGATTTTTTATTTATCGTCATTCTCCTCGGCTCAAGGATGATGGAGAGTTATTAGTTTATGATTGTTTTATATCTTTTATACTGAATTTTTTTATTCATCAATCGATTCAAGTGGAACTGGACGGAGTATCTTGAGGTCGTGTTCGAGAATACAGACATTGTTTTGGATACGGATGTGGACAGGGTTCTGATTATGGATCTGGAATATTTGCAGAAGCTACCTCAGCTTTTGAACAATACTCCGCCTGCTACTATCGGTAGGTGTTTTCGATGGAATATTTTATTTTCCTGATGCTACTTTTACAGTTTTCTCTCTACACTGAGAGAAAAACAAACACGTTGTCAAACAAGTCTCGTTTGGGCCAACAAAATCGCTAATTGAAAATTGCCAAAAAAGAATTTGTTTGGGTCGAATTTGAAAGTCGCAAACATGAATAATTGTTCTGCTTTCGACAGCAACGAAATATTTGGATCAAGAGGCGGACAATTCACACCAGACGGTGCCTTTTCAGGATGAAAATATCTCATATAGAGGAAAATTTATCAACAAATATTTTATCCCTAAGTTACAAGATTGCTATCATATCATTATTATTGTTTCATTTAAGGGTTCATTTCTTGTCTGTGATTATTAGACAGCTGAAACGAAAAACTACTATCCCTTGTTTCGCATAAACGAAGGAGTAGTGCTAGAAATGACATGTCTTGCCTGTACAGAGAATGCAATTTTTTTTTAACTACTAAATTTGTTTTTGCGACAAAAATTTTTCATTCCGGCGCACTCTCTGCATGTTTGGCACAAAAAATTCTTTTTTGATAATTTTCAAAAAATTATTTTCTTGGCACAAGTAAGACTTGTTTGAGAACTTTGTCGTTTTTCTTTCGGTGTAGGGTGAGCAGACCAATAGACAGGCCGTTAAGGATATCCAAGAAGTTCGGGCAATTTTTTCTGGGGGAAATCCTCTTTAGAAAAACAAATCGAATCAAAGCAAGTTGACCAATTCGATTTTTTCGTATTTTGTAATTTTTCCGATTTCCGTGTGATCTACAATTGATAAATCATCCGTTTTAAATTTCCGTCTGTAGCTTTATTTATTCCAATGTTCTGAACATTGTGTATCAATTTCAAGACGATCGGATCATTTTTACTCACTTTGGAGACTATCAAAGGGCAAAATCGTTTTTTTTAATTTTTTGAAATCCGCTGTAATATTGGATGGGCGTAGGTGGGTCAGAACATATTTTTTTAGTGACTACACAAGTGAGAAAAAATTCACGGAAGCCATTTTTTTATTGCAGGACTTTCAAATTTCAATAGTGTCCCCCTTTAATGAACCATAATTCTTTTCTTCACACTGGATTTCTATTGAGAAATTTTCTGTAAAAATTCCTCGGCTTAAATTTTTCAAGTTTTTTCATTTTACTTTATAAAATGAAAAAACTCCGATGAAAAGCTCCGTTAGTCGCGCAAAAGTTACGCGCCGCGCCACCATAAACCGACATAATGATCAATTTGAAAGATCTAAGAAAAGTTCCAGAATGATCAAGAGTGATTTGGACCGTATACTTGAAGACGTCCCGTGAGATTTTTTTATGTTCAGTGTTACCCTTAATTATATATTCAAGCTCAAAATTGCCATGTGTTTCTGGAAATTCGACTTATACAGGGCACGGGGCTCGGAGTTTCGAAACAAAAATTCGAAAATCCAACTAATTATAATATTTTTGGCGGATATTTTCATTAACAAAGTTTCTAGACACTGCAAAATAAGACGTCAAATTTTTTCAAATTTTTCTGAGGCTTTACTGCAGCGTAAATTAAAAAATCGGAAAACGTGCGGCGCGGCGCTGTCCCGCGATCAACGGCGTATTAATGAGATTCTTCGACCGTTGAATTATTTAATGACGCTTTGATAGATGCAGATTGACCTTCCCGGTCGTTAGCATTTCTGGGATGATTCACTCTTCTGTTCGGTTAATCGCTTAATTAATCATCGTAAAAGTGCTACTGCGTAGGCCAATCGGATTCGATAGAACTATCAAGTGATCATTTTTTACTGCCATGAAAAGTGTGATTATTCCCTCTTATAACGGTTCCAGATTGAGATGTACATCAGTATTCATGTATGATTTATGGATATGAATAAAATGAAAAATCTCTTGGTTCGGACCATTTTCCTCCTGTGTCACAATACCGTTCATTATTATGCCAAAGGCCTCGTCATAAATTGCTTTCAATTATGTCTGTCAACAGCTCGATTCGTCTGGTGGAGTGTGTACTCGACAGTTGCGCCTTTAACCCTCCAAAAATTCCGAGATTTGGGATTTCAGTTCTCTCAAAAGATTTTCGGACTGAAGGAGAAGACTCCGAGGTGGAAGGGTTGCACTGGAAACGTTAATGCAAACTTCGGGATGGTTCTGACCAATATTTATGTGCAGAGACATTTCAATGAGGAGTCGAGGGAAAAGGTTTGTTGCATTTTTTCACTCAAAAAACGTTTTGGATTGAACGACAGAAATTATTCCGACCGGTATATTCATATTCTATATTATCACCCCGAAAAAAACCCGAAAATGACCCGAGAAAATAGCCCGGGGTGATAATACAGAACGTTTTAGATTGTTAGGAACGTTTTCCAGGGACATATCACTGATTATGAGATATCTATCATCAATTATCTCAGGGTACACCAATGTTACAAGGGTCAAGAGGGTCAAAATCCCTTATCTAATTACAAGATTTTTTTGTACATTGAGCTTCTCTTTGGACACTGACCAGTGATGGCCAACAATATTAGATTTCAACAATATTAAAAAGGATTACCTACTTATATTGATCAAAGTTTAACTATACTTATCAAAATTTAATATATTACAAAATTTAATAATTAAATTTTTTCGATTAATGGTGAATAAAATATTTGATAATATTGAAATGTAAATTTTTCATTGACAAGTTAATTCTAAATTTTAGGTACTTGATTTTCGATTATCCAATTAATCGTCAATCTTTCTACCTAAATTATTGGTTAATAAAATAATTCAAAATTTGAATGTAAAAATTGATGATTAATTTAATGTTTTAATTTTTTCAAAGATTTATGTCAATCATTGACAACTTCATAATTTAACGGCAATTATAATTGATGAATATGGCTATTTCTGACACTGACTAGAATATCCCTGATCATCAGTAATCTTTATCACTGAAATTTGGTGATAGACTCCGAAAGATTAGAGATACTAAAATACTAAAATTTGTAATTATTCAGACGTGTTGACTGATTTATTAATGGCTCCCGCCACTTATTCGATGTCTTGCGAGTTATTTTATTTGTTCTTACTCTTCCAATTTAGAATTAAAGATCACTGACTGTTTTTTTTTGTTTTGTATACATGTCCGGCTTCCAGAGCTTAAATTACAAGCGAACCATCGCTTAGATTCGGAGATATTCCTCGAAAACAGCTAAGAGCTAAGGCGAAACGGTTTCACCGCTTCGCTACTGAATTAACGAGCAATATTTTCACTCTTCACAAATGAAAAATTAATTTTTTAACCGAAACTTGAGATTAAACATTTAAAAAAATCAGGCAAGGTTCCTATTGGGGATTGATCCCAGAAAATCAGTGACATGTTCCTGAAAATCGAAACGGTTTTCCTCGGTGGTGATTTTATTATCGAAATGTAGAATAATCCTCAGTTCCGGTTATTTTATTCCAAAGGCACTGGAGATGTTCCTCGACATCAGAGCAGCATTCGACGAGATGGTATCGGAATTGAATTGGATGGACGCAGGAACGCGAGCTAGGGCGCACAAGAAGCTGTACGCAATGCGGCCATTCGTGGGCTTCCCCCAATGGATAAACGCGCCCGAGAAATTAAACAAATTCTACGAGGGAGTTGAAGTAATCCCTGGCCAGCTCTTCGAGACCTTCCTAAGACTGACTGACGTAGGAGTGAAAAAGACACTAAACAGTTTGCGGGAAAAGCCGGACAAGGACAGGTGGATATCCTCAGGAACCACAGTTAATGCCTTTTACAGTGCAACCTTAAACTCCGTCAGTAAGTGCCCATTGTTTGGTCTTTCTTATCTCGACACTTTCTCTCATTTCAATTGCACTACACGTGAATGTTTTAGCGTTTCCAGTGGGCATCCTACACCCTCCATTCTACGGTAATGGACTAGAGTGAGTATATGTCCTTTTGAATAAGTGATGAAGGCGTTGAATTGAAAATTAATGAATCAATGTACTCTGCAGATCAATAAATTACGGAGCTATGGGCGCGATAATGGGCCATGAACTCACACATGGATTTGATGATCAAGGTAAACGAAGAGAATTTTGAAAATTCGTTCGATGGTTGGAAAAGTTAGTAAAGAAGTCGAAATGTCGTATTTTTATCCGGTAATTCGCTCTTTTTGTTGCACGCAAGAATAAGGATTTTTGGCAAATTGTATAGGAGGGAAATATTTTGGCAACTTTCAGTGGAAAGAACATGATGATGAATGTTTTCCGCTAGAAAATTCGTGATAGGTTGAGTAGTTTTTGAAATAGTTCCCAGTAATAAAGCTGATTTCGACGATCAACAACACCAATTTTCAATGTTATCAAAGTTAAAATCCTATCAAATTTAAACTACATCAACCATTTCTCTCCCTGGAAATTTCGTCATTGAAAAATTCCGAATTTCATTGATTTTCGCAGCAAATTATGAAACAATCAATAAAAACTGTAAATTTCAGTCCAACTATTCAGTGAAAATTATAGAAAATTGAAAAAATCCGGTCATTTTAATGCCTAATATTCATGTCTTGCTGAAACCTTAAGGTAGTTGTGGAATTTTGCTTCCATTTTTGTCCGAATTTTTGGTCTCAAATGCCAGAAAATGTTAACAAGTGACATTTCCATTCGAATCCCTGGCAATTTCGTCATAAAAAAATGATAAATTTTATTAAGTTTCGGATCAAATTACTAGACAATCAATAAAAGTGGTAAATTTCAGTCAGACAATTCCATAAATATTACCGAAAAATGAAAAAACTCTGTGAAAAAAAAAGCTGTGAAATTTCCACATTTTTTTTACCCGAAATTCATGAATTCACTTGAATCCTATTCTATACCAATTATTGGCTATATCCTCTTCTCATCAGAGGCCAGTGCCATAATTCACTTGAATTATACCGGAAATTAGGAATTCCACAAATTTTAAGGAACTGAATTGTTCATGAAATTCCAGAATCTTCCTAACACTGTAAAGTGAGCCGGAGACTGAATTTTGCGCTGAATTGTGACTAAATACCAACTATGAACCAGAAACCCCACGAATGAGATTTCTGGAATTGTTAAGACAGCATTAAACACATCCATTTTCTGAAATCATCGCGTTCAGGGGTACAATATTCCCAAAAAAAAATATTCAAAATTTCTCAGTCAGTCATTCTCCCCCAAATTTTTTCCAATGAGAAATTTCTCATTTCTCACTGTTTCCAAAAAATAAAAAATATCAACCTATTGACCAAATAATAGCCCGGGGATAATACGGAAAAAATGCCTACATCTGCGGGCAAAATGAGATATCGCCTCCATTCAGAAGCGATAGAAAACATAATGATTGAATCACTGCAAATTTGTAGGGCGTAGATACGACGAGAACGGTAATCTTCGTCAATGGTGGAGCAACGAGACATTGCAGCATTACCACGAGAAAGTCGAGTGTATCATCAAACAGTACAGCAGCTATCATTTGCCGGAACTGAGTAACAATTTCACGGTGAGTAAAATGTCCTTCACCAAATGTGTCAAGGTTCGTTATTAATTCTATCTAGGCACTGATTGCACGTTCATTTACTTCAGATTAATGGAATCAATACGCAGAGCGAGAACATTGCGGATAATGGGGGGATACGGGAGGCTTACAGGGCTTATCAGCGACTCAAGTCGAGGGGTTTAAAGAAACAGGCATTGCCCGGCTTATCTGACTACTCCCAGGATCAACTGTTCTTCCTGGGATTCGCTCAAGTTTGGTGTGGAAATTATACGAATGGGGCTTTGAAGTCTAAGCTCATTGAGGGGACACATGCACCCAATCAATTCAGGGTCATTGGGACGTTATCTAATAACGAGGAGTTTGCGAAGGCGTGGAATTGCCCGCTCGGGAGTCCCATGAACCCACCGCATAAATGTATACTTTGGTAAAATAAAGACGCATGAAAAATGGAAATGAACAGTCTCTTCTTCAAAAAAAATATCAAAGGATTTATATCTTCATACAAGTTATCTTCGCATCACAACTAGCACACAGTTTAATTTCACCAGAACTGGACGCTGAAACGATATAATTATCTCTACACCGAATACACTTGGTCCTGGTCTCATGTGCATCTGTTTCAAGGACGAGTGACTGGTCCTCAATACTATACATCCTCAATTTTCCATCATGCCCCAGACCCTCAAGCTCATTATCTTCTTGATTGAGAAAATCTATGAATACGATTTTTGATGGGAGATTCACTGATCTATAGTTGTGAATTTTAAAAATGATTTCGACGAAAAAAGGACAATGTACTTGAATATCCTAGAACCATAAGGACCGTCCAAACAGTTTCACATGTCTTTATCAGAAAAACGAGAAGGCAATTCTTTTCGAACGTTTTCAGTAAGAAATTCGATTTGTTTAGAAAGTATGAACATCCCTGGGAAAAAAAATTCCTAAGCTCACCTCCAAAAAAAAATATATCAAAGGATTTATATTATCGACATACAAGTTATTCTCACATTGCAACTGGCGCTTCCCAATTTTTTTCAAACTACCCTCAACAAATTTCCACAGTTTAATGTCGCCAGAACTAGACGGTGAAACATATAATTATTTTTACACTGAATACACTTGATCCTGACCTCGTCTGCATCTGTTTCAAGGACGAGTGACTTGTCCTCAATATGATAAATCCTCAATTTTCCATCCTCATCCCCCAGAATCACGAGCTCATTATTTTCCCAATTGAGAAAATCTATGGATACGATTTTGGATGGAAAATTCACTTTCAAACACAAGGGAATTAAATTCGAGCTCTAATGATTAGTAATAAATTTTAAAGATGATTTCAACGAAAAAAGGATAATATACTTAAATATTCAACAATCATTAGAACCGTCACAAAACAAGAAAAAAATTCTTTTCGACTGCGAAAAACTTCGATTTGTGTAGAAAATGTGAACATCCTTGAGAAAAAATAATTTCTAAACTCTCTTTGAAAAAAAATATTGAAGGACTTATATTATCGTCATACAAGTTATCCTCGCATCACAACTAGCACTCCCCAATTTCGTCAACCACCCTTAACAAATTTCCACAGTTTAATTTCACCAGAACTAGACGCTGAAACGATATAATTAACTCTGCACTGAATACACTTGATCCTGGCCTTGTGTGCATCTGTTTCAAGGACGAGTGACTTGTCCGCAATATTATAAATCCTCAATTTCCCATCCTCATGCCCCAGAACCACTAGCTCATTATCTTCCTGTTTGATGAAATCTATGGATGCAATTTTGCACGAGAAATTCACTGATCTTTAGTACTAAATTTTGGAAATGATTTCAACGAAAAAATAAAAATGTATTTGAATATCCCAGAACCATCAGAACGATCCAAACAGTTTCATATGTGTCTTTACCAAGAGATAAAGAAAAAAATTCCTTTCAAACGTGAAAAACCTCGATTTGTGAAAATATTAAAGGATTTATATTATCGTCATACAAGTGATCCTCGCATCACAACTAGCACTCCCCAATTTTTTCAAACTACCCTTAACAAATTTCCACAGTTTGATTTCACCAGAACTAGACGCTGAAACGATATAATTATCTCTACACTGAATACACTTGATCCTGGCCTCGTGTGCATCTGTTTCAAGGACGAGTGACTTGTTCCCAATATTATAAATCCTCAATTTCCCATCCTCATGCCCGAGAACCACTAGCTCATTATCCTCCTGATTGAGAAAATCGAGGGACACGATTTTGGATGGGAAATTCTCCTCAGCGGATATGCCAGCGGTTTCTACCGAGTAGACGTCGAGTTTGGTATTACAAGCGATCAGGTATTTTGTTCCGTCTGGACTCCAGAGGACAATATTCACGTATTTCGCGTCGTATTTAAAGCGAGAGATTAGGTTGGTGGCGTAGGCCTGTCGTCCCTTCACTAGGTTCCAGGTCCTGAGGACTCCATCGGCGCCTATTGAGAGGGCGAGTTTACCTGTTGGATGGACTGATATTGTGTTCACTGCTGATTCTTTGTGCGGGGCCTTCCAGTGCTTCTCCAGCTGCCAGTTTCCACAGCGGACGACGCCGATGCTACCGTCACTACCGCAGGTGAGGAGGTGGGTCGCGTCGGGGGTGAATGTCACACAATTTACTGTACCTGAAATTCATTCGTTGAAATTGACTCTTTAGGGAAATAAAGGACTGAATTTTCGACGACTGAAGTATTGAATTATGGCCGTGACTGTTCGCACCATTGCGTGAATCACTCCCGTACACTCCATACACTCCACGCATGCGTGAAGTTTGTGTGTTTCACGCAGCCGAATTTTCATACTGCTGTGTATTTCACGCAGTTGAAGTTTCATACTACTGTGTGTTTCACGCAGTTGAAGTTTTATACTACTGTGTGTTTCACGCAGTTGTATTTTTATACACCTGTGTGTTTCACGCAGTTGCATTTTTATACGCCTGTGTGTTTCACGCAGTTGTATTTTTATACGCAGTTGTATAAAAATACAACTGCGTG